CAACAATAACTATTATTTTAAAATAATAACTTTTAACATGTGTGGTATAAAAATTTCACTTTTTGTTCTTGTGCTTTTAACATATATTCTTAAGGGTAGTGCATCGATGGAGGCCACCAATTCAGTCCTAGAGGCTGAAGCTTTAGCCCTCAGAGAAGCTCTAATACAACTGAAGCGACTCAATTACCGAAATGTGACATTTTGTGGAGACTCTATCTCCCTATATGGTCACTTGGAGATGAATGTCTCACAGCAAGCTAAAGCAGAGAGTCCCCAAGAAATACAAGGCTATGTGCAAGATATCATAACGTTGGCTCATGATTCTTATAAATTCAAATATATCAATAGGAAAGCCAACAACTTAGCGGATACATTAGCCCGTCAAGCTAGAATTAATAATTCCCCTATGGTTGTATCTTGGATTAACTAACTATATATTGTTATATGTTTTACCTGGTTAGTATCTGGACTGTATCATTTGTACTTCTTTTTAAATCTAATGAAATATTTGGCCGACAAAAAAAAAAAAAAAAAAAAAAAAAAAAGTGAAGAACTTTCGTTTTTGAGTATTAAAAAATGGATCCGTTCGACTTTGATCTCTATCTAAGACATTCGATGTTTTGTGTTAATTGCCCGACCCCAGACAAGTGGAACTTGAATTCGGGTCTGCATTCAATTATTCATGTTGAAGAATTTTGTTTATGGCTTCATGCCCTATAAGCTATATTACTCGCTCGATAATAAAATTTCTTAAACTAATTAAATTCCAATATTATTTTCTGAAGAAAAGGATTGGCGTAAAGAATTGAAAAGATTCTGTATTTTACTATTTAATTTGCTTAATCCGTTACGAATATCCAAAAAATTTGAATAATAATGGGTCTAATGAATAAGGGAGACTCACAAAAATGCCTTTTTCAATACCCTTTTTCAAAAATGCCTCATTTGGCTGTCCATTTTTAAAAATACCCCTTTTTATGTACAAAATGACTAAATTACTCTTCTTTTAATAAAAGATATCACAAATATATAAGGAAAACATGAGAATGTGCACACATCAAAATTACAAATTTGATTTTGTAAAAACTTGTAAAACCTTTAAAATACCTTGTAAAATTTTCCCGTAAAAATTTTTCCCGCAAAAATTTTTTTTTTCTGGGAAAAGTGATTCCGCAATTTTTTTGGCGTTAAATTTTTGGCAGGAAAAATTTACAAGGTATTTTAAAGGGTTTTACAGGATATTTATAAGGTTTTACAATGTATTTTAAAAGGTTTTACAACGTATTTATAAGGTATTTATAAGATATTATAAGATTTTACAAGCTATTTTATAAGGTTTTACAAGTTATAAGGTTTTACAAGTTATAAAATAACTTGTAAAACCTTATAAATACCTTGTAAAACCTTTTAAAATACAATGTAAAACCTTACAAAACACTTGTAAAAACTCTGTAAAACCTTTAAAATAACTTGTAAATTTTTCCCGCCAAAAAAATTGCGGAATCACTTTTACCGAAAAAAAATTTTGGCGGGAAAATTGCGGGATCACGTTTTCCGCCAAAAATTTGCGGGATCACTTTTCCCGCCAAAAAATATTTTGTATTTTGTGGACCTAATTTTGTTTCAAATAAAGGTAAAATGGTCATTAAAAATTAAAATAGGGCAGACTTAAAAATTGACTCTCAAAGGGAGCATTTTTGAAAAGGGGTATTGAAAAAGGGGCATTTTTAACAATTTCTCAATGAATAATTTGTCTGGTCTTAAATAAATCATAACCTTATATAGTTTGCCCAATATATATCACTAAAACTTTATAGTATATCCACATATATATGGTGAAATATTTTCTAAAATAGTGAAACAGTTCTGTATATGTATATATATATATATATATATACATATACAGAACTGTTTCACTATTTTAGAAAATATTATTTTACTATATACATATACAGAACTGTTTCACTATATATATATATATTATTTTATTTTTTGACACCAAACATTTATATACATATATGGATCAAGAGAAAGGTGAAACGACTGTATTTGGTGACCAGTTTGGTTCTGTTATGCCACTACATAAGATGGATTTGGTGACCAGCTTGTTTAATATGATCATCTAAAGGAAAATAACTTTATAATATGTAGAATAGATAACCAACTAAATGTACTTATAAGTTATAACATAATACGTAAAAGCAAAAATTCGTTAATTTTTTTCAGGGAAATTTATATAATTAAATAGATTTCATTCAGTAATCGATAAAGCAATATATTTTATTATACTAGTAGAGACAAATTTTAAGTAATATTTTGACAAAAGGTCAGAATTTTAAAGAAGAAAAAGAAATTCTACAATGAAACTACTGTAGCTTTAAAATTTTTATTTAAAAATTAATCCTGAATATTTAATCAATCTAATAATTACACATATAATTATCCACGTTAAAATAATAATATTCAAAAAATTGGATATATGAGTTAAAAAAATTTGGATAATATGTTTACCGAATAATTATAATATTTTCAAAATTTGATATTATAAACAATATTGATATTGAGGAACAAAGCTAACTATAGATATATCTTATACTATATAGTATACATATTGCTTCTTTCATTATAAACACTAGGGGATTGTGTTTTTTCTTTTCTTTTTTTGCATTATCTTTTAATAATTGATACTTAATGATATTAGATTTTATTTCTAAACGATAGAATATGGAAAATCATTGATGAATGATGATATAATTTTATATAAGTTGGTATGATGGGATTTGCACTCACCAACTCATATCCTGGCAACGTGTCTGGCGTTGAACAAAATAAACCAAACTTGTATGGCTCAAAGGTCAAAAGTGTTTGAAATTAATCTATTTGGCCTCGTCGACCGTTCACGGACCCAACACCAACATTAACTACTTTTTCTTGGACTTTTTTAGTTTTCGCTTTAATGAAACACGTCGATACTTGAAAATCATAATGTCACAGATTCGTCATCTAGGCGTTAAACTTTAGATATTCTTTTTCTTCATTTTCCTACACTGATGTAATAAGAATTAATATAAATGTGACATGGGATGGTGATGGTGATGTGTGATTCATACATGAGCAAATTTATTTACAGATTAAGCAGATATATAAGAAATAAATGTGCTTTTGAAGAACTCAGCAAAGTTTTGATTTGGGGGCTTGAAGCAAATGGGTCAAAGAAATAAAATTGTGAAGCCCAAAGAAGATGCAAAGGCTTAGTTGAGTCTTTATAAAACAAAAGTTTTACATAAAATTATCTTAATTATATATACCGGAAAAAGGTTAAATCGCAACTCTCATAGAGCAGACCAACAAAATTTGAACTTTTTCATGAACAGAAATAATTACCAAATTTGAATTATTTTGCTGAAATATTATTAGTCAACTACTGTTCCAATAGGACATACAAATCATTTGGAGCAAGTCATTTACACTCCCTTAAATCTAACCTAAAAGGGAACTCACCTCACAAAAGCGTATACCATCTAGATGTTCTTCGAGAAAACCTAAATCACATAATTGCATCCATTATAAATTTTTAATAAATAAAGTGATGTTAATATGTTAGCTTTATAATCGGTCATGTTACATGAGATCAAAAATCAATATTTCAAATATTATATTTGTGTCATGCATTTCCTTTTTTGCTATGAGAACTTTTGATATCCGACACAGCCATAAAACAGTCGATTTTTTTGTTAAACTGGTTAGAAGTATATGATGGAGTCAAACTTTTATATCATTTGAAATGACGTCACTATATTTATCTTTCGAAACCTCAAATAAATTTTTTTACCCAACAAAATATCAATACCTAAGCTAAACCACTACACGTCTATATATATATATATCGCTTGGCAAGTTATAAAACATTTAAATAATTGTTGGATTAGCTGATAATAGCAAATTTTCAGAGATGTATTACTTATAAATACGATAATGTCTATCTAATCACTTTTACATATCGACTAAGGGAAGGAACATGCACAAATTTGCTTTCCATTCTTTTTCTTTAGTTTTGAAAATCAAAAGAGAATGAAGTAAAAAAGTCACTTTCACTCATAAAAAGAAGTTTTTATTTGTCTCCTTGGCTTTTTGTTGATTGTGGCCGAGTTTGTTGTTTTATGACTAAAAGAGTTCAAACTAAACACAAAGTAGAGAGTTTCATATCTCGGAGTTGAAATATTAAACATTTAAAATGGAAAAAGAAAAGTAAAGAAAAAAGTTGAAAATAAAAGGAGAAAAAGTAACTTTTTCTTTTATTTTGCTTTAAGGAAAGAGCCAAACAGCTTGCTCTTTTTTTTTTTTTTTTTTGAATGAATGTAAAATTTATTCAAAAAACTTTGTTTACAATATATGCAACCTTAAGCTGAATTGTGTTGAGAAAAGTTTGTAAGAATCTAAAATAACCCAAAGTAGTTAGAATGAAATCTTAATGAAATCATCTTGTTGGTAGCCAAATATGGAACCCCTCCCTTTGCTTGATGGAGCCGTGATGGTGCAAGGTGCATAGTCGATTACGCACTACTCGGTCTATAGCCTTAACAAGGTGGCATGGGTTGTGTGGAATCCCACCATGCCTTCTACCATTGCGTTCTCTCCAGATAGAATGAGCCGTAGCCTGAAACACATAACGAATGATGAAGCGAGATGGTGGATCAATACTAGGACCCGAAATGAGTGATAATATGTCCCCGAAGCTCTTGCTTGCATTGGCCCTTTACTGCTTTACGACGTTTGCACCCGAGTTTTTTCTTCTTGTTTTATATATATATATATGCACGATTATATTGTTACAAGTATACATATCTCTTATCTTTGTATGTAATAATCATATAAATAAGTAAGTGAATAACGATTTCCAACAATCACTAGAGATTATAAATATATTAAGTTAGGTAAATACATATATTTTTTTTTGGTAAGAATGTAAATATTTCATTGAAAAATGAAAACGATTTAGGTTTACAATCGAAAGATTATACATCTATACAAATGGTCATATGGCAAAAAAAAACAAAAACATGGAAGCATAATTCATAGAATATTTTTAGTCCATTCACTCAAACATAAGCGAAAAAGCTAATGGAGTATGATGAAGTGATGACGATTTTGTTGTTCTTCCCGGCTCTGATGCTTGAGACGAAGAGCAAATGAAATAGAAACCAATTACCAAGATACAAGACATTAGAAGCCTTTCACCAGAAGACCAAGACTGTGCCGTCAACGGCTCGTCGAATGATTCCATGAGCTCTCACTGAATGAAACCTCACAAACCAAAGAAAGCGAACAGTGTGAGCTCACCCTACCAAGTTTATTCCTGAAGTCGCATTGTACAGAGCTAGATTTTTTAACTCAACACCACACTGGACACCATTGGTCTGACTAACTCCTCTAGAGCATAGTGAAAAAGCAACCATAGCAAAAACGCAATGCAACGCAAGACCTATGACTCAAGGCAACATCAATGGCAAGACAGAACAAAAACAGGGCTTATTAGCAAAAACACCGAGTCAAGAAAACGATTGATGAAGACAAATGGAGACGGGAAAAGCCACCACCGGTAGCCATAATATCTACAGAATCAACACCACTGTTGCTTCCAGAAAAGACCATCGAGATCAACCCAGACGAGCTGCCACACTTGACGCGCCACAACAGAGTGTTCACCATCAGACCCGCTGTTGTTCTCAGGCAGATGTGGCCCACCGGAGAGCCATCTGTCCCAAACGCCATGCACTTACGTCGAGGTGAAAACTCAAAAATGGTCAATACAAGTTTGGTAAAAAAAATAAAAAATACATATTTGGTCGTAGAACAAACCAGCCAAATCAAGGCTTACAAGAACAAAATATAATACATTTATAGCCGAAATTTTTAAGATGGGACACAATCATTTGGAGGTCTTTGACATGTACATACATGTTCCTCTTTACGGGTGTTGGACTTCCAATCCACGTCCTCACGCTCAACATTTTTGTGCATCAAATTCGGTTTTTGTGGTTTAGAAATAGAAATCATTATTATGCATTGTAAAATGACTAAAATCTATGCGTGTAATTAATCTTTGTTTTCAAAACTTTGGTTAAATCACATTTCCAATGTATTTTAACACAAAATAACGATTTAATATCAAATGTATTAGCTGATACTCTTGCTAAAGAGGCTCTATCCATGTATCTTTCAGACTCTCGCTTAATATAAGTTTTCGCTTGACAGAAAAAACATGTAATTATTTTGAGAAAATCTCATGATTCCATTATTTTGCGGAAAAATCTCCTTTGTCCAAATCATGCTTCAACAAAGGAGCGTTGGATTCTGAAAATGATATTTTTGTCCACGTCTCCATTAGCCATGTCAGTATGTCACCAAGCTGTCATCGACAAAGGTACATACATGCACGATTATATTATTACGAGAATATAATCACATTTCTTTTTGTTGCATAAATCATGTTACGATAATTCGATTATGATGCGTTTAAGTCGAAAATCTAGTTCGTCTAAATCATGTCAACTAATTTTGTTCACGATAAAGTACCATACTTTCCAATTCTTCAACTATAAGGCCGTGTTCTTTTACTCGTCGCAGCGATAGCGACAGCGACCGAGCAAAATACATATAGATATAAGTTGCTTGGGTCTCAAGGATGTGGAGAGCATGACGCTACTGTTGATTTTGGAGTCGCAGCGACTTCCGTAACTGTCGCTACAAATTTTAGAAAATGGCCATAACCTCTGATTAAATATAGAAAATGGCCACCCGAATAATATTTTATTCATGATAATCTAGTTTTATCAAGAAATGAGAAAATAATCCCCACCCTCCAAGGCCCAACCAAGAATATTATTACAACTTCGGAACTAAATCAGCCAAAAATAGAGGAAATATTTAGGAAGAGGGATAGAGAGAAAGTAAAAAGGCCGCCAAAAAAAGAGAGGAGATTTAATTAGGTGAGGACTCGATCATCTTCTTTTGCTGATTCAAGTTCTTGTAAAACTTCTTTATAAACTCATCCGCTGCTTTGTCCACGTATCCGTTAGACACGTCACCATCTTCCCGTAACGGAAACGGTGAGTCCGTTACCCGTAAGGGCCTCACTGACGGAGTACTCCGTCCAAACACCGGCAAGTAAGGAGATAACGCCGTCAAGGCCTCGACTGACAAAGCTGGGGTGTTACTTCCCTGATCATGATCTCCGCCGCTGTTGAGAAGCTCTAGGACGGCTCTGGAGACGGAAGTGTCGTCGTCAAGGGTCGGTGGCGCGTGACCACACGAGAAAAGACTGTTGTGGTGGCTCTTCTTCTTGAAGGCGGCCATGTTAAAGGGGAATATGTAGTTGGGAGTGTCGCTGCAACTAAACTCGTACTCTTTCTGCGGATGGGACGCAACAGCGGAGGCGGTGGCTGGGAAACGGCGGCGGTTGTGGAGCATGAGATTCTTGCCGCGTTTGAGAGTGGCATTAAAGTCGGCAAGGAGCTTTTGCTTTGAAATGCCTTTGTGTATCATGTACAAGACAAAACGTACAATGTTCCCTAGCTTCTTGCTTATTGATACATTCTTCTCCATCTTTGGAATTAGAGAGATAATGAGACTCTTGTGTTTTTTTTTTTTGGTGGCTTTGATATTTGGTTATGGACTAAGGATCAATGTGTGTGGTATTTATAAAGAGGAGAGAAAGAGTAAGACTATTCAACAAAAAGAAGTACTTAAACGTGGAACATTACACAAACATTTTAATATTTTTCTCTTGTTAAATAGCTTTAGGATCAATAACCCAAATAATGGAAAAGAAGAAGAAAATTTGAATTCTTTTATCAACTTTAGTTGTACTTTAGATTGCACTATGTATTATATACATCTATATATGGATATTAGGTCGTGCTTTTCTATATAAAAGAAATTGACATACATACAAAATTAACTAGTGGGGGTTTTATAAGATGACTTGGCCTTCTAGTATGATGGTATATACGCTTTACAACTACCTCTTTTTATTTAAAAGTTTTATTTTTTTGAAAAGGAATGAATAAAAACACTATATTATTGCCACTGTGGCTAAACCTTTTTTCTTTTTACTTAGCTTTTTTAGTTTGCCTTAAAAGTTTAAATCTTTCACCAGATAGTTACCATTGGTGCAATGAGTGCCACAAATTTATGCAAAGAGAAAAAAAAATAAAGAAGTTCCAAGTTTAGAAGAAATGCAAATTCAACCCAACTCTATACAAATTTCTGTAATTACCCTCTAATTTTATATAATCAATAAGTGATATTTGCAAAGTTTTGTTTTAGGGTTAATCCATAACACTCATCTTAAGATGAGAAAATTATAGATGACTTTGGCTTATATGAGAAACATAATTTGGTTGATTACCTGCACAATGGTCAATGAATCTACAAATTCTCCTCCGTCGCCAGTTCGTCTGGTAGTATCAACCTCTCCATGTAAGTCTGTAATCACATTGAAGATATTTCTATTAGGTTTTCAAGGATTTATCGTGAGAAACATAATATTTTGATTGATTAATTATCCATTATTCGATCTCAGATTAACTAATCTCAACTCCTAAATGCAAAATGTGACCATGGTTGATGCTTGTGAAGCAATAAAGGTGAAAGGATATTAACCTTTATCTTGACAGCATCAGATGGAGAAGGGCTTAAATCCAAAGCAATACCGAAATGTAACACGGCTTTGTCGTATTGCTTTAGCTGATTGTATATTTTGCCAAGCAACGCATGGACACTGCTCTCTTGAGGAGCACATTCTTTGAGCTCTTCTAAGACTTTAACGGCTTTGTGATAATCACCGAGGCTGTTTAATATGGTAGCTTTGTAGTACTTCGGGAGCGGATTCTTCACATCAGTGAGTACAGCCTTCTCCATCATCATTAACGCCTCATCGTTCCTCTGCAAAATATTATCTCAACCTTAAGAAATTATCTCTGGACTATAACTTTCTGGAAAGCTTAATTTCACAGCTAAATAAGAACATCACAAAGTCATGAAGAGTAATATATGATATAAGTAATTGTTGAAGTGAAGAGCGTATTTCAGCTACCAACCTTTGACTCATGCAAAGCAATTCCATAGTAACACATGATGACTGAAGATCTTGGATTTATTTGGAGAGCCAGTTGAAATTGATGCTGCGCAAACTCGAATTTCTCCCGATGAAGATAGGTCATTCCAAGACCGTACCATGCATTATAGTGTCTTGTATCTATGCCCAGAGCCTTCCGGTAGCATCTCTCTGCATCCTCAAATTCTTCCAATGCGGCAAACCTGTGCAGCCAAGGTGACACCGGTATGTTATTAATCTACATATTTGGTTATATGCAGATTAAGACAAACAAAGAGATGCATCGAAAAGAATTGTACTCGTGACCACAAAGGGTATGCGCATATGTGAATCTTTCATTCAGTTGGATAGCTCTCTGAAACATTTTGAGAGCAGTATCATGATCCTTACGCAAACTGTAACAGTTCCCAACAGCACACCTGCAATTCGTATTGCTACCAGTCATTACAGAAAAAAAATCCAAGCAAAGAGAAAAACTCTGCAGTTTCAGATTTTGAAATCTGCTAGTTCTAAAAGCTGGTTTCTATTGACGGTTTGTGGTTAAAGCCTGTGGGTGTTAAAGTCTCGACACAGACATATGTGGTTGATCATGTAGGTTTTGCGAAACGAAGTCGGAAGAGCATATTGCTAATGAAGATTCTAAGAATGATACCAGGATTCTGGAGACAGGCGATCAACAGAAATCAGCTCCTGAGCCAGATAGCCCAACCTCATCTCTTCTTTCAGGTGCTACAAAAACAAAGACACAAATCACTAAAAGTATAACAATAACATGGAAACCTTTGCAAGTCAATCTAAAATCAAGTTCTATATGCTGATATCACAACAGGATAATGTTCAGAGTCAACATCATGTTCAAGATTAGTTCGGGGATTCATAATGAATAACAGGAAAATTTGCAAATAGTGACAACAGCTCACATAAAGAACAGTGGAGTACGTATCCATTCCTTCCAAAGCATAAGGATACTTTTGATGAGCAAGAGTAAAGACAGAGTCAGCGTTGAAGTAGTCTTGTAGCTCAAAATATGCTTTTCCAACCTATGTCAAAACGTATCCATGGTTTTTAGTTTCAGTGTCAAAAACAACCAAATGGAATTAGAAAATAACGTCAATGAACTAAGATGATCATTTCAAGCTGGCTTAAAATTCCAATGAAACAGAAGCACAGAAAAAAGCCATTCATATTACTTGCAAGAGAACCCAGTGTGTATCGTATTGTTTCTGAGATAGCTTTTGATATGCCAACAAAGCTTCCTGCAGTAGTATCCATTTTTGTCATTATAGACTTCAACATCGATATTTTACCTAATAGGGAGAGAATGCAAGTTGAAGAGGATAAACCCAATACACACATTGTCTTAGTAAAGTACCTGACAGTTGTACATATGTAAATGCCTATGGCCATCTCCAAGAATTTTCAGAAGGTTTAGCACTTCTGAAATTCCAGAAATGAGGCTGAAACGATCCGGGGAAGATTCACTAGGAGTTGACTTTTCCTCATCATCAACAGAGCTTCCAATGTCACTTACAGACTGGCCTGATGTCGTTGCTGGATCATTTAAGGTAAAAGTATCAGGAACCGCTGCACATATATGTTCAAGTCTTATTGTCATGTAAAATACTTAGGCCACCTACATATTTACATCATGAATTTTAACTAGAGATCTAACTTTTACCTCAGAAGGGATTTCAAAAACTATAACCAGTTGAGGCTCTATAGCCCGGTTTGGGAGACAAAAAAGAAAAATATGATAGAAAAACATCACCTTCCTTGCTGCTTTGGGTTCTGCATTTTCCAATCACGGAGGAAAGAGAAGGTGCACAGTTTGTCTCAGAAGGTGAAAGATGTAACCAATGGGAATCTTTTCCAAATGACTGCGACATAGGAATCTTTTTCCTTGCTGCTATTCTAGCACTACGGCGACGCCCAGATTCTTCTAGAGCCTTCAAGAAAATAAGGAAAATAAAAGAAGACCAATAAATCAAGTAGCTTTAGATGGTCCAGCATAAAGCTAGAAGATAGAAACAAGGTGGAGAAGCTCTATGTTAAAAATTTAAAATATCTGCAATGATAGATGATCACTGTTCGCATATGCATTAATAAGAAAGCTCTTATGCAAAGAAAACAATGAAGAAATTACTCAAAGCCCATTGTAGATATATAACCTCTGCTGACAATTCTTCACTAAAAAAGTTTCTTCGACGCGCACGCACTCCATGTACAGACATCAAAGATCCTTCCACTGCTGGACGACGCATATTCTTATGAAGCAGAGGCGATGGAGCATCCATTACCTGAACGATAAAGATACTTAGAGATAGGAAAGCAGCTTACAAACTTCTCATTACCTTATGAAAGAAATATAGCTTTTCAAGAAGATAATAGATATTCAACAACTGAGGATTTTAAGCTAGAAACAGTAACTAATATGTTCTCATACTAGCTCGACCTAATTATATCACCTGCGAAAGCACTGGAGAAGGTGTGTTCAAGTCCCATCCATTTGTATTAAGTTGCCTGTCAGTATCTGGCGGAATATCTGCTCCAGGCTGCTGCTTTATTTTCAGATCTTCTTGGTTCTCTCCTGGAAAGTGTTCTGTTTGCCATAAACTTGTATCTTTTGAAGCCTTATCAGAATCTGTAAGCTGGTTTACGGTTGCTCCTTCTGAGAAGTTTATTCTTTGTTCTACACAAGTTATCTGAAGACGCTGGGAAGCAACATTCCCGAAAACTGTTGAGGCTTCTTCAGCGGCACCTGAAAAGGTAATCGCAGAACGCCATTGCAGAAAAATAAATTTGTTGCCTAGATTCCCAGCTGGAATAACCGAAACATAAACTGATAAATACATAACTCATAACGAGCTGTAACTTACCTAAACTACAAAGTTCTCCATATGCTTCCCAACACAATGGATCAAATGACAATGCCATCCTAAACTGTTGTATTGAACTGTTCTTCCTCCCAGAATGTCTGCAGTCATGTAACAGAGAGTAACACACATCAGACGGTAAAGCAATACCATCAGCCTTAGAAAATGGAACATATGCAGCAAACTAGTAAGCTTGTTACAACATAAGTACACCACGACTAAACTAAAGCATGCAAGAGACAACAATATCTCATATAGACCTTGCAAAGTAAATAACCATCACCTATATATAAGACCAAGAAGATAATGCCCAGCTGCACCACCAGGAACCTGCATGTTAAAAACACAGTATTCACTAGTCAGCACCTGCCAGTTTTCACTCCCAAAAGACTAGCTTGATAAAAGATGTGTACAAATTCCATAAATATGGAGAATTTTAATAAAGGAAGTAAAAAGCAACGCCATATACTTCTTCAACATAATCTTCACTGGGCAACAATGCAGCTTCAGCCTCTCCAAGAAGATCCAACTTAAAGCATGAGAATGCAAATAAATACCGAGACTGAGGCATTTTTGAACCTTCAATTCACAATGTAAAACAAGTTTAGTTTTTCCAAACAGATGTAACAATATATGAAATGTTCACATATAACACAGTGCAGAAGAATGTAGAGTACCTTTGAGGATATAATATGCACTATAAGCTTGACTGTTACTCAAGTAACACCTAGCTAACAATTGCAGGTTCACCTGCATAATGAAAGTAGTTGATCACCAGAATCACAGGACCAAAACAAAAATTTAAGGGATTTGAAATTCGAAGCAATACATCAGACAAAATCTCAATTGACTCAAACATCTATTGAAATGCGACCTAGAAATTCCAGGTTTGGAAGAAAATCCCAAAATCAAAAACATTTCAGTCAAATTGAATTGCATCTTCCCGAGAAATCATAATTTAAACCCTCTCGAGTCCAACTAAATCGAAATAGAGTTTGATCCTTAAAAACAAAGCCCAGAATTGAACTCCGTATAAATCGAGGATTCTCTATTCACAAAAACCTCAAAAAATCACACAAAAAAAAAAAAAAAAGACAGCTAGAAGATCGGATCAGAGTCATCAGACCACAAGAGCAACAAAATCAATCCTCATCTTAAAAATGATGTGATCGAAAGAGACGAAGCTAAGATTTGACAATCGAAATGGAGTTGAATATGGAAGAATCGAAATCGTAGATACCTCAGAGGGAAATTGGGCGAGAAGACGTTCGCAAAGGAAGATGGCATTGGTGAACATAAAATGGTTGAGGTTTTTCTGGACACAATTCGCCAGTAGATTCTCCATCTGATGATGATGACCAAATTGACGAGACAATCGATGTTTGTTCCTCGGAGGCTGTGTGTGTAATGTCGCCTAAGTAATCGCGCGCCGCTAAAGTATTTCAAAAGCCTAACTTTTTCTCACGCGACGAGCGTGTGAGTTTTGTGACAGTAGTTGTGCCCCAGATTTTTTGGGTGGACGAGAGACAACACAAGACCGCGTTTGGCGTTCTAAGAAAATCGCGTTTTAGAATAGATTTGAACTTTGCATAAGGACAAAAAAAAAAGCCAGTTGATTCCAAAGTTTAGGGTTCTCAAAATCTCAAGGAGACTTAGAGAAAGAACACAAATGAAGTATCAAATTAGATATTTAGTAATTAATTATGCTACTGAAATCATATAACATAAACACTCAAATTATAACGAAAGAAATTAATCTATAGTGTATCTACAACGCAATTGTTTTTTCGTATAACCGTTGGATAAAAAGCGCGGCAATTTTCTTTTACATCCACAAAACGATGTTTTATGTAACCATTAACAAACGCGGCAATTTTCTTCTACACCATCATAACGACTTTTATATATAACCATTAAATCAGTAATTTTTTTCTTACACTCTGAAAACAACGTCGTATTCATACTTAAGTATTTCTTCTTATTTTAGAAAAATATTCGTGAAAACATTCTCAAAATCTCTATTAATTATTTAAAGGATAAGATGATTGGTAAGCTATGTTGCATGGAAACTCTTTTCGAGGTCCGTTTCCCGTTTCGGAAACGGAAACTCTTCGGAAACACGAAAAACGTCACGGAAACACGTTTCGTAAAAATCTATGTTTGGAAACACGATGGAAACTCACGTTTCCAAAATGGAAACGCGACAAATTCTTTTTATTGACTTTGGAAACTTAATAAATAAAAGTTAAAAATATTAAGATTTATAATACATATAACTAATTTTGGAAGACTCTGAGTTTTAAGATCTTTCTATCGACAAACTAGATTTGGAGGCATCTTTATATGATTTATGATGAAACTAATAAAAATGAGAATGAAAATGTTGGTCTAAATTAAATATTTGAACTTGAATCTTTTAATCTTTATCTTTTAGAATTTTAGTTAACCTATTTAATATTGATGTTTTGGATTTGTATTGTTTAATTAATCCATTTTTATAGTTTTATGTTAATGTTATATATATATACATATATTATATATATGTATGTGTATACGTTTCCAAAGCGTTTCCAATCCCTAATTTTAGAAAAAAATCGTTTCCCGTTTCCGAAACGTTTCGCTTCCACGTTTCCGTTTCCGTTTCCATGCAACATAGTTGGTAAGTATGCTAGATATTTGTGTTTATAGTATCGACGTTTCACCACTTAAATTAAATCTGCTTATTGTTGACCAAAAATAATTAACACTAAGTCACTACTTATCCCTTTAGCTTACAACAATTTAATTTCCCACCATGTTGGATTGAGAATTTTGATGGTTGCCCCTTTATCTGTTGAAAAAACCTTCTGGGCCAACAACGTTCCAAATAGGCCCAATTCTAACACATTGTGCAAACGCGAGGGTAGTTTCGTCATTTCTCGTGAGGCGCTTGAATTTTGCGATTTCAGAATCTTTAGTTTCTAGGGTTTCGCTTACCTTCCCTCCGCGCCATTGAGCTCCGACCTGAGCTTTTCCGGGATTACTAAAGCTGAAATTGAAACACCTCCATTTGCATCTTCAGGTTTGCTCTATATCTCTCTCTCCATCGATCTCTTAGATAGTGTGATTACTCTTATTTGTGTAGTGCCTTCGATGATTTGTGTTCTCGTTTAAAACCCAGTCGGTAACTTGAGATTTTGTTCAACTTTTTTCTCAATTTTCTTTCGATTACTCCTCTGAAAACCCTTAGCTGAGCTTAGATTAGTGATTTAAATATCAAGATTCATCTATTTCGAGACGAGGGTTGCTTTAACTATGAAATCTTGATATTGCCCAAGTGGAAATTGATGTTTTTTGAGCTTTCTTATGTATTTTTTGCTCAATAATGTATGATTTTTTGTCTTTGCAGGGAGATAATAAAACTGTGTTGAGTAGAAATGAGTGCTGCAGCTCACAGGACTCCTAAATCAGGGAGGCAATCTTTGCTATTTCAAGATTTAGCTTCTCCTGTTTCAGCACGTAGAGGGAAATTCTCGAGTCCAGGACAGGCAGCTGCGGTATCTGCACTATGGCGTGAAAATTTCGGAGGATCGGATCTTCCACCACCTCCAATGTATACTTTAGATGACCGGTCGGATTTCTCCCCTGAGTCTGGCATTGCAGACTACTCTGCTTCTCCAGATGCTAAATCTGACAGAAGAATGCCTTTCCAGAGTTCTGGAAAGAATATTGTAACTCCCGGTAAAGGAAAGTTGGAAGCAAGCCCGTCTTTTTCTCTACTGAATGCACAACAGAGTCAGCAAATTTCAGGGAGTCCGAGTTGGTGGTCGCAGTCAAAGGCAGGTAGTAGTACCGAGCAGGATGATAAAGGGAAGGGTTCTCCTGTAGAAGGGGTGGTTCAGCCAGGTGCATTGGTCACTCTTCCGCCGCCAAGAGAAGTTGCTAGGCCAGAGGTTCAGAGGCAGATTATACCTACAGGAAACCTTGATGAGGAAGAATGGGTCACTGTCTATGGGTAAGGCCATTTAAGCTTTATTGCTCTCTCTCCTCTGTTTATCTGTAGTGTTACTTACTGTTGCAAATGTTCTTGATTTGTCAACATTCTTGTGTCTCTGAAATTCTAGGTCCATGGTATATTGGTAGTTGGTAGTGTTATTAGGTGCCTTATCTTGTGTCTGTCTTCCATGTTTTCGATCTTGAAGAACTGTTCATAATGTGTCTATGGAATTCTAGGTGCACCAAGTACTTAAATTATGCTAATAATGATGCTCAAATATCGGCCTTTGATTGTGATTTTACTTTTGGGCATTGTGAATTCTGACTCTTTACATGGATAATATCTGGTAGTGTTATTAGTTGCCTGATCTTGTGTTTGTCTCCCATCTTTTCAATCTTAAGAACTGATCATAATAACTGCTTTCAGATTTTCTCCAGGTGATACAAATTTGGTACTACGGGAATTTGAAAAGTGTGGTATGGTCTTGAAACATGTTCCTGGTCCAAGGAATGCCAACTGGATGCACATCCTCTACCAGGTTACTCTTCTTCCTTTCAAACATGTTTGCTGCATGATGATAAGCATTCATAGTTCTTCTAGACAAGTCATCTACATGATAATCTAATCATATCTTCTTTATGAAAAAATAATGGAACTGAACAATGGTCTATGTATTTGATACAGAACCGGTCTGATGCACATAAGGCGCTGAACAAAGCCGGGATGATGATAAACGGAGTGGTTATAGTAGGAGTGAAGCCAGTAGACCCTATACAGAAGCAAGCTTTAAACGAGAGACTCAACAACCAAGGATTCGTGCCTTTACCTCCACCATCATCCACTAGAGACACTGCTCGACCCTTGTCTCGTCCTCAGTACTTGCAAAATGGCAGCGCTTTCTCCCCTCAACCAAGTGGTGGCGCTATGGCCTCTCCGTCAAAGTCAATGGTCTCAAAGTTCTTTGACTTGATGTTCGGTGTTTAAAAGCCACTTCAATTGGCATTTCACGAATGATATACACATAGTTTGAAGTTTTTGAGGAGAGTGGCAAAGTAAATCTTAGTGAAAATTAAAAATTGTAAGAGGTGTTTCAAATTGTCTTTTGTATTTTGACGACAGCCGAAATTCAGTAAATCTGATTATGAAAATCTCCTCTTTTAGCTATTTTATTGTTTGTTTATATTTGAGCAGACTGTGGTCACTGGTCATGCCTCGTGCAAAAAGAACCACCATTACCAATGCGTGAAAGACACTGATTACATGGACCTGAGAAGCCTCACGGGCTGTGTTTTAGAACCTCCACAATGACTAGCCACGTGCCTAGCATGTTGTGTTTATATATCCCGTCTTTGGCTGGCGTGTAAAATTACGTTACAAACTCACAATGGCGAAAGCAGCAGAGCAGAAACAAAACTCGACCGTTGTGATTGAAGAAACGAAGCTTGATATCCGCGACGTGGTCAACACAACCACCACTTACGGCGAGGATAACGGTCACGGAGGCGGGAGACGTAATGACGTGGCAATGGTTGTGCTAAGAGCCATGTGCATGGCCGTATCCGCTGTGGCTGTCTCGTTGATGGTGACAGCCCGTGAGACTAGCATGACCACTCTCTACGGTTTCGAGTTTCAGCTCCACGCCGTTTGGTCTCTCTCAGATTCTCTTATGTAAGTCAGTTTCATAAATCATCGTAAGTATAAGATCATGAGTGAATAATAAGTGTTATACAATTTCACGAGGCATTTGATACTTTAAGCAGATATCTAGTGGTGGTTTCATCGGCGACGGTTCTTTACTCGTTGATCCAACTAATTATAAGTGGAACAAGACTAATGAGAAAATTCCCGGTGATTCCGACAAGAACACAAGCATGGTTTTGCTTCGTTGCAGATCAGATAATAGGATACGCAATGGTGAGTGGTGGATCAGCTGCTTTAGGAGTGACGAATATGAACAGAACAGGAATCAGGCACATGCCTCTTCCAAATTTCTGCAAATCTCTTGGTTTCTTCTGTGACCATCTCGCTGTCTCCGTCGTTTTTGCTTTGATCGCGTTTCTCCTTCTCGCCGCTTCTTCTTTTCTCGACGTTCTCAGTCTCTCACGCGACCGCTAAAACAATAATTACTGTTTTACCCTCTCGTACTCTTTTTGTTTCCGATGTCGTCTGATGTTTTTCATCATTACAATAATCATTTACGTTATGGATGGTTTTTGGAATTGTTTGTTTCAATCGATGTTTTCGAATTCCAAAGTTTTGAATTTTGTTGACCAATTTCCATATACACGACAAAAAATTTAAAAACCCTTAAAATATTCAACAGCACCCGCGACAAAATATGAGTCATAGTCTTGTCCTAACAAGTAGCCCAATTCAAATTTCCATTCAATGATATTATCACTAGATACCGACTTGTGGTCTTCCCACGCATCAGAGGCAAATTCATGGATTGTCATTTGTCAACAAGCTCTTGGTGGGGTTTTCCTTCCGACCAGAATTAGCAACGATCTTGTAACTCCCCTTATTGTTGTATGATTTGTATCCTAAGCCAAAGGAGTCCATATGAGTGTGGTTTAAACCCTGGTCGATCCATGTACTATGTCTCAGCCACAGGTTCCAAACCGTACCGCAGCTACTTTCACCATGCCACATAGCAATAACTTATCGCAATCAACCAATTTTTTAGGTATCTCATAAGATTCTAAATAGGGAATATATCTTGGAATCGATGCTTACCGAATAAATCTTGGATCTGGTTGCTAAGATGAATCGAACCGTCGTTAAGAAATTTTGATGTCTTTCGTTTTTTTTTTTTTTTTTTTTTTTTGAATAACCGCGGGTCTCCCAAAGGCTTCCTAGGCCCAAGGACTAATCTCACGAGACTGGCAATTCCCCTATGTAAACCTGCCAGTGGCCGTGCCTCGAACCCTGGTGGCGGAAGTCACAGATGTGACCCTTTTACCACTAGGCCACAAGGCCCGGTTAGATGTCTTTCGTATTACTGTAGAACAATTTCAAAGTTGCTAAGGACAAGAGTCTACAAACATCAAATTGCTTCCGAAGTATTGCCATGGAAGGCAAATGTGTTCTTTAAAACCCACAAAGGAGGCACAATATGTTTTTCTTCGGCCATATTTAGAAGGAAAAAAAAATGGAAGCTGTGAAAGATATTTGTATGAGAACATCCAAGAGGTAGGTGAGTGATAATCAAAAAGTTCATACGAGAAAAAAATAAAGAGAAGAAGCAAAATTATCAAATTATAAAAGTGTCATTATGTTTGTTAACGATTATACTAGTGTTTTAGCAAAACAAACCAAGAAACAAGGCTAGAAATGTAGAAGTAATTTCTACTTATAAAGAGCAACCTAACATAGTGGATGCTACTATATAATAAATTCCTGAAATTTTCAAAATGTTTGAACATAACCGCATAAACTCGAGTAGTATACTTGCATTGATTCCTAAAATTGTCTTTAAGTTGAAATCGAGTATCTCATTTGTTGCTTTCATACCTTCTCACGTTTCTAAGAGCGTTTACGAGGCGGAAATACGCGGACAACCTTTTTCATCCATCTCCTCGAGAAGCAACAGAGGTCTCTCCACTCTATTTGTTTTACAAGAACCATCTTATCAAACCAAGAAATATGTGGTTTGGACTCAAATAGATTGATTAAGAAGTTAGGATCAGGAGTAAATCCATCTCTAAGCATGTCTTTATACAAACTATATGTTTCTTTTTCCCTCCCTGTATTACCAAATGGCACCATCAGTTGCCTGCACGTATAAACCGTTGGCGAGAAACCGCCTTGTTTCCATATCTCCTCAAAAAGATTTGAAGCTTTCTTATACTTCCCTACCCTAAAATAGATTCCTAACAAGATGAAGTATATTTCCTCTGTAGGCTGCAAACACTTATCCTTCATCTCAAAAACCAACCTAATCGCAGAAACATGACGACCTAATTGGTCATATGTGGATATAAGCGCAGAGTAAGTAACCGTGTCTGGAAAACAGTCAACTTCCTTACACAAGTCAGCGTAAATATCAAGGACTTTCTCGTGCAGTCCTTGTTGCATCAGCATTTACAGAGTTGTAAGTGCTCGTGTCGGGTTTGCAAGCGCGGTGTTTCATCACGTATAAAACCGACAAAGCATCGATCACCATCTTAGCTCGGCCCAAGAGTTTCATAAGATCAGAGAGCTCAGGTGTGCTAAATATAGCGAACTCGTTATTAAGCATGTCTTGTATCGTTGTACGTATTTCACTGTAGTGCTTAGCTTCTTCAAGGCAACGTATTAAGGCCAAGTAGGAGGAGGAATCATGTTCAAACATACTTGTTGTTGCACGAGTCCACTTGAAAAAGTCAATCTTGACATTTAACTCAAAGTCCATCTCAAGAACTCTACGAACTAATCTGTGACTCACTTTCAGCCCCTCCAGCTCCCAAGTACGCCGTTGCCACTCGGGGGTTTTCAGTATCTCAAGCGAATAGAGTTAAATGGGCCTGAGTTTCTGTTATTGGGCTTGAAAAGCCTTTTTTATTTTACCACTGTTCTGTGTTCTGTTTCTTCTATCCCTTAGCCTGCTGGGAAATGAAGCTAGACTACTACACGAAGCTCGTTTCTGCGTTTTAATGGCGATCAATCTATCTCCACTCGCTTGGTTTATTGCAATTCATTTCGTCATGTAAGTGAAATTTATTTCTACTTCAATCCAATTACATCATGGCTTGTCGTTTCCCTCTACATTCGTCACCACCTTCCCAATTCCTTTCACCGGAAAATCGTCAGAGATTACCCAGAAATTACCCTTCAATCTCATGCCAAAACAATTCAGCTGATGTTCATGATGATGGTGATGAGAACGAAAAAGTCAAGACAAGCCAAGTCAATCTTCTTGCAATACCCATCACTCTCACTGTAATCTCCGCTTCTCTAGCCCAACCGTCGTTTGCGGCGGCGAAGGTATCGGAAAGAAAGAGAACTCAGAAGAAACCTCAGGAGGCTTTGACAATTGAACAGCTTAAAGCTTGGTCCAAAGATTTACCTGTAGTTTCGAATCGTATACCTTATACTGACATTTTGAGCTTAAAAGCTCAAGGTAAGCTCAAGCATGTGATAAAGCCTCCTAATTTAAGTTTGAGGCAAAAAGCAGAGCCTGTGTTAGTAGTTTTGGAGGATTCTAGAGTACTGAGGACTGTGTTGCCTTCTCTAGAGGGTAATAAGAGGTTTTGGGAAGAATGGGATGAGTTAGGGATTGATGGACAATGTGTTAATGCTTATACTCCTCCGGTTAAGAGACCTCCTGTGCCGTCTCCTTATCTAGGGTTTTTGTGGAAAGTGCCTGCTTATATGTTAACATGGGTTAAGCCAAAGAAGGAGTCGAAACGTGCTGCGGAGTTGAAGAAAATGAGGGAGGATTTCAAGAGGCAGAGGAAGGAGGAGATTGAGAGGATGAAAGAGGAAAGAGCGATGATGGAAAAGACTATGAAGGCGCAGAAGAAACAACAGGAGAGGAAGAAAAGGAAGGCTGTTAGGAAGAAGAAATATGAGGAGTCTTTGCGTGAGGCGAGGAGAAATTATCGAGATATGGCGGATATGTGGGCAAGAATGGCTCAGGATCCTAATGTGGCTACAGCTCTTGGATTGGTGTTCTTTTATATATTTTATCGTGTGGTGGTGCTCAACTATAGGAAGCAAAAGAAGGATTATGAAGACAGGTTGAAGATTGAGAAGGCGGAAGCAGATGAGAGGAAGAAAATGAGGGAGTTAGAAAGGGAGATGGAGGGAATTGAGGAAGAGGATGAGGAGCTTGAGGAAGGGACAGGTGAGAAAAATCCATACTTACAGATGGCGATGCAGTTCATGAAGTCAGGCGCACGTGTGAGAAGAGCATCAAATAAGAGGCTACCTGAGTATCTTGAGAGAGGTGTGGATGTGAAATTTACAGATGTTGCTGGACTTGGGAAGATTCGTCTTGAACTTGAAGAAATCGTTAAGTTTTTTACGCATGGAGAGATGTACCGCAGGAGAGGGGTCAAGATTCCAGGTTGAATGTTGTGAAAACTTCTGCTTTTCCCTATATCACCAAGTATTTGGTATCAAGTTATAAGGCCTATGAAATTCTGCTGTTTGATCATCTCTTTAATTTTGTTTTCCTTCAGGTGGTATTCTTTTATGTGGGCCTCCTGGGGTCGGAAAAACTTTACTGGCAAAAGCTGTAGCTGGTGAAGCAGGAGTCAATTTCTTCTCTATCTCTGCTTCGCAGTTTGTGGAGATATATGTTGGTGTTGGTGCATCTCGTGTCCGAGCATTGTACCAAGAAGCTAGAGAGAATGTAAGTCTAGTAACTTTATATACCTGTGTTGAGCGTGCATCTATTAGATATTAAAGCAATACCTCTTGGCTGCTTTTCTGTTGATTCTCATTGTTATAGTGAGGATTTAGTCTATTACTGGATGTTAATTTTAAGTGTCTCTCTGCAGGCTCCATCTGTGGTCTTCATTGATGAATTAGATGCTGTTGGAAGGGAGCGTGGGTTAATAAAGGGTTCTGGAGGACAAGAAAGGGATGCCACTCTTAATCAGGTTCCAGATATTTCAGATTTTGTAGTAGTTTTCTTCGTTATATAACGGGATGATAACTTTATTTATATTTTCGTGTCCCAGCTCCTTGTTTCTTTAGATGGTTTTGAAGGAAGAGGAGAGGTCATCACCATTGCTTCCACAAACAGACCAGACATTCTCGATCCTGCGCTTGTGAGGCCTGGAAGGTTCGACCGCAAAATTTTTATCCCTAAACCTGGTCTTATTGGACGGATGGAAATTCTGCAGGTAACGGCGTGGTATCTGTGTTTATGTATTCTTAAACTTGTAAATTTGCAAAATTTCTTCGGTAAAGTAGAGTTTTGTCCTCGGTCCAAAGCTATATTGTTTTGGTTTTGCTGTTTAGGTTCATGCTCGTAAGAAGCCGATGGCTGAAGATTTAGACTATATGGCAGTTGCTAGCATGACAGATGGCATGGTTGGAGCAGAGCTTGCTAATATCGTTGAGATCGCAGCAATTAATATGATGCGTGATGGAAGAACAGAGGTGGGATCAATATTTTTAGTCCGAATTAGTCATATCTGCTCTTGTTTTTGGATTAGTTTGGTTTCAAATGTTAGGATCTTGTAGCATCTGGTAATATGGTGTGATTGAATTGGATTAAGTGCTTGGATATTGTGCTCAAGAAGAAGTGGCTTAGGCTAATATTAAGTTGAGAAGTCTATTTTCGATTCCAGCAAGTAAAAGACTGAGAAATCATATATTTTCTGTAACTCTAATGCAGTTAACAACAGATGATTTGCTTCAAGCTGCACAAATAGAAGAAAGAGGAATGTTAGATAGAAAAGACAGGAGCTTGAAGATATGGCGACAAGTTGCTATCAATGAAGCTGCTATGGCTGTTGTAGCAGTGAACTTTCCTGATCTTAAGAATATAGAATTTGTAGGTTTCTTAAAAAAAAATTTCCCTTCATACATTGAAGCTTCAACTTTCTGTTTTACCGCACCTTGACATTTCGATGACTTTGACCAGCTGACAATCAACCCTAGAGCTGGTAGAGAATTGGGTTATGTCCGGGTGAAGATGGATCATATCAAATTTAAGGAAGGCATGCTTAGGTTTGTGGCTATAATCATACAGATATACTTTCACGATCACACGGGTTCTTTACGTTAATCTATGTCCTCTGGTGGTCTACTATATGCAGCCGACAATCCATCTTGGATCACATTACTGTTCAGTTAGCACCTCGTGCTGCAGATGAACTATGGTACGGTGAGGATCAGGTGAGAGATATGATCTCCTTTAACCATGACACAGCATCAGAAAATCCATCTAGACATGTTCTATGATTTTACTTTTCTCCAGTAGTGTTTTTTAGTTACCAGTCTTTGCTAATGATTTGTTTTAGTTAAGCACGATATGGGCTGAAACATCAGATAACGCAAGATCAGCTGCTCGATCATTGGTTCTAGGTGGTCTTTCTGATAAGCATCATGGCTTGAATAACTTCTGGGTAGCTGATCGAATAAACGTAAGGCCATATCTTGAATTGTCTTCACTTCAATTTTCAGATACAAATATCATCGTCTGATACTTGGATTTGCAGGATATTGATCTGGAGGCACTGCGGATATTGAACATGTGTTACGAGCGTGCTAAAGAGGTAAAGGAGACTTCTAAAGCAACTACATCTATATTATAGCAACTCTTTATATTGGTTTTGTTAATATATTTTACAAACGCATACACCAGATTCTTGGAAGAAACAGGACGCTCATGGACGAGGTGGTAGAGAAACTGGTTCAAAAGAAAAGTCTTTCGAAACAAGAATTCTTCACTCTTGTTGAGCTCTATGGCTCCATTAAACCAATGCCACCGAGCATCCTTGAACTAAGGAAGATCAAACGGCTTGAGCTCGAAGAGACGGTGCTGAAATTGGACATGACTACCGCAAAAAACAGTTCATAAGATGAGCTTAGGAGGTGTAAACATCAAAACCCATTATAGAGGCAATGAGCTTGATCTTTTATCTTTCCTATGTAATCTTAGTAATGTTAGATAATTCTTTGTGCTTCAATATAGTAACTCCCCTTTTATCCATGTTGAAGCAATGGTCAATTTTAAATTATTCACATATCTTGAATAAAAAGTTTATGAATTTTTCTGGCATGTGACATGAACTTATGTAAAGCATGGGGATTATTATTATTTCTTATAAAAAATTTTGGAGACATTGAAAAATGGCACATGCTAATGAATGATTTTTTGGTTAGGTTTTTAGGTGGAATTGCAAATTGATGAGAATCGAGAATCAAGAGTCCTTAGGTTGGTCGATATACATAAAAACTATTTGATTATTATTACAGAGCAGATAACATTTGACTTGCAAGATTTGACAACTAAATGATATTTACGTATTACCAAATTTTATTTTATTTTTAGTTAACCCGTTTACCAAATCATTTACTTTAACCTCCTTATTGGTAATTGGCCACCTTACTGGCTTAGTCTCTATTATTGAACCCACCCGACTCATCATCATGATTCATGTATACTAAAAAATCAAAATACCCAACCGATTTTCTATTTTATTATTTAAAATTCTTACATGCATATATAGTTGTTCTATACAATTAATTCACTTCACTGTTATTTTAATGGTAACAATCATTCATTTACACTAGAGATATAAATATATTTAAAATAGTTTTCTCATATTTCTTTCGCATATAAAGTGTCCAAAATTATTAATCTTCTTATACAACGGTAAAAAAAATTGAATTCGTCAAAAGAAATTGACAACAACAAAAGAGGTCCACAACGGCAATATCTGACTCTTAATATGGTTGCTCGTTCCCACACCACCCATCATTCTACTCATATTCAATTAAATAATACTACATTTAAGCCAAAATAAACACAACGAAACTCGTGTTTAATTAAGAAGACTAATACCACGTAACAGTTTCAAAATAAAGAGATGTGAATATGGAATTTGAACTGTAATTCCACCTTTTATGAAAAAAAGCCAAATGCTTTTTTTTTGTTTGAATTATTGATCTCTTTCTTTTTTGTTGGCAATCGTTTTATTAGTTTGATAAAAACAAACCTATAATGGAATTTAGTATGAATAATTATATGGATGAACCCGTGACCAAAAACAAAACAAAAGTACTTGGACCGTTATATTCTGTTGGTCGAAATAAAGGAATTCAATTTTTATCCACTGTGATTTTATGTTGGTTGCTGTAAAACTTTTTAACAGCAGAAGTCATTTTCTACGAACATAAGTGTAATGTTGTTAAAAAAAAGATAAGATATAATAAGCCAAAATATTAAATTAGTAAAAAAGACTGGACGGTGTACCTCATTGGAATTATTTTAGCGTGTTCCATAATGCGTTATCGTATTTAATTGTCATTAAAAATTATGTTCCAACCTAAACTCTCACAGTTACCTAACAATAATATAAATTTCTTGCTTCTGTAATTATCTACAAGACAAAACTTGTAGATTGGAAAATACTTTTATAATAATGTAAACTTATAACATTTTGAGATCAATTATATATAGTAAGTCAGGTCAGCATTGGAGAAGAAGAGGGTCATTGACTGGTGAGAAGAAACAAAGAATGACCATTGACTCTTTAAGGATGTATACGTTAAGAAGAGTAAAACAACAGCTTTGACAGTTACCAATCACAAAAACTTTATCAAAAACGTTATATTTACAAACAGTTTTACTCTCAACTTTTTTTGTACAGTTTTCTTGTACAGCTCTTTCATATAGCTTTGCACTATTCTGGTAAAGCTTACAACTAAAAAATTTGTACAGCTTTTAGTTACCAATCAGACTCATATGTTTGTTAATTCACTAGTACAAAAAACATTGCGTAACGATTGTTTCAAATTTCCAAACTTACAATAATTGTATGCTATATTACACATATACATAATACAGAAATATAATAAGTATATTTTACAATAATTGTATACTAACTAGCCTATGAATTTACCCAAAAAAAAAACAAAAAAACTAGCCTATGTTACAACTTACTACTACAAGTACTACGTATGAAACAATCCGTACAAAAAAAACAGATGACAACTTAATTAATGATTAAAGCTCCATAATTCCACGAAATTAAACTCCGATATTTCTTCATAAAAATCCATAGCCGGAGGATACACCCAACAATCGAACGGCTCAGAATAAGCCAGATCAGCGCGTGACGTCACACTCTCGTCATAACTCCCTTCTTCAATGTTAGGCAGCTCCACAATCTCCTCCAACCTCTCCTCCTCCCCTGACTCCGCCGCCACGTAAGAAGATTCCGACGACGGTGGTTCCTCCGGCGTCGCCTCTGTATCCGACATTTTTTCTTCGACCACCATGGCGGCGGCTTCTGCGGCGGCTGCTTGGATATCATGCGGCGAAGACGACGCCGGACGAGGGAAGAGAGAAGCAAGCTCAGGGAAATTAATGACGGCGGAGGAGCCTTTGATGGTAAGAGCAGCGACGTCGTGAGCACGAGCAGCCATGTCAGCGGTGGCGAAAGTGCCGAGCCAAATACGAGTTTTCTTACGAGGCTGTCGGATCTCGGAGACCCATTTGCCCCAACTTCTCATCCGTACACCTCTGTAAACAGGATGTTGCTTTAAAGAAGATGAAGATGAAGCAGCAGAAGAATCTCTTCTTCTCTTTCTTGTGTTGTTGTTTCTCGGTGGAGCTTCTTCTTCAGACAAGCCGGTGCTTGTTGTAGTAGTTGCATCAGATTGGTCAGATGACGATGGTGTTGGTGATGAAGAGCTGTTGAGTGACGTCATTTTTTGTACTCGTTTGATACTTACTTCTTCTTTTTGTGTGGATGTGAGACATGTATTTATAGACTGCTAATGAGAGCTTCATTTTCGAGGTTTTTTTTATAAATAATAAAAATTCTTTTAGTATAAAAACATAACACGTTTTTTTCTGGTAATTGGATGTTCGAATAAATAGTAGTGATTATAACCGTAAAATTCTTTTCATATTATGTTCAAAACTTACAATCATACCAAATTAGAAAGAAAAAAAATTGCATACACACATTTTTTTTTTGTCAAAAATTGCATACACACATAAGTAAATTGTGATTTTGATTTTATAACTGCATATTATTATTGTGTTCTTGCTTTTAGATTATTTAGATTGTTCTTTGTAGACTATTCTTTTTTTTTTTTTTTTTTTTTGGTATGCACTATTCTTTTAATTTTTGTCAACAAACATACTATCTGTTAACTATTTCTTATTTCTGAGGCTAATTAATTTGGTGGAAATGTGTCAAACTATCAAAGAAAATAAATACTTAATTTGACTAATGAAATTAGACGCGCCATTTTAAGTGACATTTAGCCTACCCATCTTTCAATTATCATGAAGCTTTTATAAATATCCAAAAAGAGTAATCCGCAACTATTCTTAGATATATAATAAATTTGACTATATTGATAATTCTTTAACCAAACTTTATTCGAACATAACGAAATAAAATTTGGAGTGGATTTTCCGATAAAACATAAAAGATTCACAGAAAAGAAAAAGTTACGAAAAGAAAAGATTCACATAAGAGATCGTTTATAACTTTCTAATAATCATCTCAATGTCTCCTTCGTTTCCTATTTGAGAGAGACTTCGAGAGTCTAAAGTTACTTCCGTATGTCACTATCAATCTGCCCGTTGAGGTATTTTTATTATTATTTATTTTTATATTTACACAGTATGGGAACCTCAAAAATCTTATACATTGGATTTAAATTTTGAGGATCATTTTCCCGTTACCAATCTTTTAAAAGATAAGAAAAGTAACTTTCACCATTTTTTAGTCTTTTTTCTATCTTTACCGTTGGTGGAAAGTACATAAAGATGCACTCTTATTAACCTTCAGGTGAAGAAAAAAATAAAATAAATAACCTTCAGTTAAAAAATAAAAAGGAATCATTTTTTTCTCTTTCTCATTAATCAAACTCTGAATAGTTCACCTAAACAGAGAAATTAATAGTGTTTTTTTTTGTCTTTCTTATCGTATGAAAATATCTATACAAATGCAAACACTTGACCAAAGGATGTATCCTAAGCTTTAATAAGTAACGCCAATTTAATCGAGTAAACGAGTATAACAAGAAATGCTGAGAATTGGACAAAGTCTACCGTGTGAGGAAAAAATAAAAAGCTCACTGCAGCTACTTAGATTATATTTACCTTATTTTATTGTGAGCTCATAAATTCTACAATTAAAAAAACTGGACATTACGAGTAAACAAAATTATCCCTGGATTTCGTTTTTTCCATCAACAAAATTTTCTAAATTAAGGAAAACAAAAAGAACTGGACTTGACTTGAACTATATTGATCATATGCTTCATTAGAGTATTATTATATGCTACTCCAAGAAGAAATGTAAACGACTCTTTTTTTCCTTTCTTGTCTACTTTCGTTACACAGACACAAGTCTCTTCAGATATTATATAGCAAAAGAACGAAATAAACACATCTAGTAACAAGTATGTGAAACAAAAGCAACTCTACAACTATATGTTCATGCCAAGAACAATGGACTCCAAAGAAGAGAAAAACCAAAGACAAACGAGGAAACAGATAAAAGAAGCAAAAAGCTTACCATATGATTATTCTTAACTTTTTCCGGATGAATTATAAAGCTATCTTCATTTTCTCCTTAAGTCTATACAGCTCTCATAAATAAACGTTTTAGCTTCCTGCACCCTTGTCTCCACATCTCATGAAATAACATTTAATACCGGAAGGCGGAATTTTGTAAGCAAGCATCAAGATACTCTCTTTGTGTCGCGGGTTGATGCAAGATGATCCTACATCACACAAACATATATGTCGTTGCTCCATCAGTGTATGTAAATCAAACAAAGGTTATGTATCTATGCCACAAAAGTAGATCTAGTCTGGCTATGTTTAGGTGGTTTTAATTGAGCTAGGTATTACATGCGAGATTTGATGTTGCACGTACAACAACAAATGGCAAGTTGACCAAAATAAAAAATCAAAGATCAGGAGCAAGATTTCAAAACTTACAGAGATGAAATCGAAGGCTCTGGTATCTTCTTTTTTCGAACCATTCATTGTTGAGGTTGGAGCCTGATTACCAAAATTTGGCTGGAATATATCAGGGAATGCTGACTGATTCCCTCCACTAGTACCCATAGAAAGAACATTTCCACTACCCTGAGCGTTCAGGTTGCCAAACTGCTGGAAGTTGGACATATTACCAAGGTACTGCTGCTGCTGAGCTAACAAGCTTGCTATGGCAGCGTAATTCAAAGGTTGGGATGCAAAAGCTGGATTCATCATCATCCCTGGAGGAAAATTGAAGGGCATAACACCCCCAGGAAGCATTGTGTTTTGGATAAACCCAGGATTTTGTGAGCCAAGAATGCCTCCAACAGGATTTTCCGGTGCTTGGTGGCTGGTGGTGCTCGGCATTGCAAATAAATCCTCTGGAAGGGTGCTTGAAGACGAGCTTTTCTGATTTGAATTGTTTTCGTCAATGGAGAAACTTGCCATCAAATCATTTATGTTTTTTGAATCTTTTGGCTCTGCTTCAAGTTTTGCAGTTGACCCAAACATATCAAATAGCTCAGGCACATGATTACCAGCAGCAGCAGCGGACTTTTCCCCGACAGTCATTCCAGAGAACAGGTCATCTGCACTTACTTTTTCTTCATTCGGATGAAATGATACATCTGCAAAGGGGTCATCATCATTTTTCTTCTCGCTGCTACTCAGTATAGTGTCAGAGCTATCCCCAAACCAATCATCATCCATCAATGGAGCTGCTTTCGTCACAGTACTGCCAGTATCTATAGCATTCAGATTGTTCAAAGTATCTTCTTTTATATAATCTGAATCACCGGTGTCGATCAAGTCAGGTAAATCTACAGCAGCCTCTCGCTTCACAGTATTATCTGAGCTGCTCATCAACCCACTTGACTGTCCACCATTTAGAAGGCTCAGAACCTACACAACGGCGATATCTTGAGTTAACCAACAAATAAGCATAATGCCAAAAAAGAGATTTGTGAATGGTTATAACAAGCAGAAGCTTACCTTGTTAGCCTTTTCTCGAAGGGAAGATTGCGGAGACTCTGAGCATCGCTGTATGGCATCCATGTTTTCACTAAAATAGGTATGTACAATTGAAAAATTATCATCTTCCTTCTTCCTCAAAATGGCCTCAAGGACACATAAAGCTTTCATCCGAACCTGCCAAACAGAAATAAAAGTTTCTTTCAAAGAACAAAAGTGGGGAAAAAAATTAACGCTACAGAAGAAACAAGCCAGGGAAAAGAAAGTACAAATGATATAATCAAGAAAAAGGTACATTAGCATCAAACAGTTTCACAAGGAGGTGACTAGGAAATTATCATAAACATACCTGCCACATTGGAGACTGGAGCTTCTCGTCAAGAGCAATGCTTAAAGCAACAGCGTCCATTTTTACAGCCTCTAAAATGAAAACATGAAGAGCATCACGAGTTGGCTGCAGGCGTACACCGCCAGACGTAACAATGGTTTCCAGCAGCTTTTCCTCACGAGTTTTGCTCTCAACACGAACTGAAGCAGAACTTTCACTTGCTTCTCCGGAAGCATGGCCCCAAGATCCACCAGTAGTGTTCTTAGACATTCCGTAGTTACCATCCTTCGCCAGCTTAACTGGATCATATCTACTGAAGTTCTCATTTTCCATAGTTAATGATCTGTGGAGATTTGGACCTCTGTAGCTGCTGCTTCCATTCTCATTCTTCTTTGGCAAATGGCCTTGAGCAAAATTACTGATTCCTTGCTTTATAGATGCACTTCCAATACCCACCACCTCACTCAGGAACGATTTATTATCATTTGAGGGCACCTGAAAGTTAGTATTCCCGAATCCTTCAATGCGTCTGTTGATGCTTTCAGGAGCAGCTGGTTTAGCACCGTTCTCTTCCGAGAATATAGCAGATATTGTTTCATGAGCAGTTTCCCGTACAGCCTTATTAAGTGCATCCCCTTTCAAAGGATCTGGATGCCCCTTGTAATGGAAGAGATTGCGCACTGCAACCGAGTTCCTTTGCATTTCTCGTCTAAACTCTGATCCAGACTTTCCCACAGCATACTTTATCAACCTAAGAGCCTGTGTACATATAATAACCAGAATCAGCATAACCAGTTCCTACAAAGCTTTTAGCCACAATTAGATTGGATTAGTTATCAATTCTACGTTTCCCTATAAACTCTAGGCTATAATCAAACACACAAAGCTTTTTCTTCGATCCATTCTCAAAAAACAGACACCTACATGCAACATTTCAATCAAAATCTTCATGCTAACTTATCCATGCGAACACAATCAAAACAGAAAACGAATCATAATCGAAAATACCTTCTGCTTAACAATGGGGCTTTTGTTATCAAGACGTTTCAAAATGAATTCAGAAAACTCCTTGACGATGCTGACATGAGAAGAACGAAGGAGGTCACAGATCTCTTCCAATTTGTACACAGGCGCTACTTTGTCCTCATCAGACGTAACCCCATCTATCATCCGCGACCTCCAATACGATTCCACAGCTCTCCTGCTCGTATCCATGTCGAATTCCAAATCAAATAACCCTAATTCCAAAACACAAAACTTTTCCTCCTCGCCCCTCAAAAAAAGCTTCAAAGACAACAACTTTATGAAAGACCGATCCTCACAACTATCAGATCAGTCAAAAAACCGATCCTTTAAGCTCCAATTTCAGCTCAAATTCACCACTCTAAAGATCACAATCGGGATCCAGATTTCCCCTACAAACCAATCAACGCAGAGGTAAAATTAGACACTTGAGACAACAAAACCATGAGTCAATCAGAATCGAATCAATAACCTCAGAGAAATGAGCAGAGGTCGGAGAAATTGAGGAGAAAAAAACTCACCGATTCGTTCGTAGGTGACAGAGAAGGAAGGAAGCGGTCAATAAAGAGGAATGGTTCTGTGTTCTTCGGTGTCTTTCCTTTTTTTTCCCAAAGTTTCAATTTTTAATTTTATTTTATAAAAATACACATTAGTTTATGCACATGAATTCTATTTATTTCCTCTGTCACAATCACAGGAAAAATCAATTAAATTGATATATTCTAAAGACAATACAACACAGTAAAAAACAGGGGACAAAACAGAGCATTCTAAAGTAACTAATTGATGAAAAAGCTTGGGACTTTGTCACTCATTAAGCTATCATTATCAGTCTCTTCTTCTTCTTCTTCAACCACTTGGTTTCTGAATAGAGTTTTGAAGTAAGGTAAAATCTTTGGAAGGACATGTAGATCCGCCATGTTTACACTCATCATATCAAAGGCAATGCATGTATTGTGCATATGCGACTCGTCAATAACCGGGATCTTTGGGTATCTCTGGCTAAAATGGGTCAGTACTGTTCGGTATACACCTGCTGAAGATCCAACGTTGATTGCTTCTTTAGTTGTGCTATGATTCTTAGCCACAGCTTCTTCTACCAACGCATCCTCAAATGTCGCCTGTTAAAGTTAGAAAAAAATGATAGATCTTTAGAATGTGAAAGATGTAAATGTTTTAGACAATTTTTGCTTATATAGAAAAACTCACAAACCTCATGTATAAGAACAGTTGCTCCTTTTGAAGCTTCAACCATCTCAGGACAAGGCCTTGTGTCACCTGAGTAAACCATTTTCCACCCAGGAATCTCATCTCCGGCAATGTTTTTTCTTTTCGCTGCTTTTACAACAAACCCAAAGGCTTGAGGGCAATGCACAACAGGAAAGCTAATCAAATCCTCCAAACCCATTTCGCCTAGGACATTTTTCAGTTTCTTCAAGAATGGTAAAGCTGAAGAATTGTCAGTCAGTGGGGTACTTGATCTTTTATAAATACTCTGCATTGGACTTCCTTTACTGAACAAAGAACCCTCTGCATTACCGCTATTGGTATTTTTCTCAGGGCGGGTGGTTTCTTGAGAAGCCCAAGAAGTTGTTGTGGTGTTCCTGCAATCAAGAAACTCCATATCTAAATCCTCGAGTCTTTGATATGCATCGAGAAAGTTCTTAAGCGGTCTCGGTCCAACCACAATTGCTGGCTCATGAGCCACTCCTTTCAGAAGCTCACGTCTGCGAGCAAGGATTCTTGCAAGACCCGTATGGTGATCAGCATGGATGTGAGAGATCCATATACATCTCAAGTTTCTGACTGCTTCATCAGCTCCTTCTAAACCATATCTTCGTTTAAGCTGGCCTAAGGTACCTTCCCCACAATCCAAGAGAATACTGCCTCTAGAGAATAGGTCGACGTAAATTGCGGTGACATTTCGGTATTTTGAGGGTTGGGAGGAACCAGTGCCCAAAAGAACTATCTCCATGTCATCTCTTCTAATGTTTTCAAGACAGCTTGGAACAGTGCTTTCACCCAGCCATGGCTCTTCGATCATCATCTTGTTGTGTTGTCCATTCCATAACCGCTTGATTTCTTCGGTCTTACTGCTGATCTCAGGAATTTCTGAAAGAAGCTCATCCATCACTCGTAAGGATGTCAATCGACTAGGGATACAAGTTCTGTCTACCCCAAGATTACTATGTGGACGCAAAGTGAACTGCGCACAATATAACAATGAGTGAGAGGGAGACTTAAGAGCTAAAGGAAGCAAGTTTCATATGGAGGAAGCAATACACTGAAGCAACATTCAATACCTTGAGGAGATTTTCAGCGGAAATGCTTTCACCAAGATTCGAATCGAAGCACTAACAAGAGAAGAAAAGAACACAGCTTGACTAAATGAACACAGCCAGATTCAACTCAATAAGATAATATCAGAAAAGCATTTGTAACCTTGCTCAAAGAAGTGGAGTTTATTGAGTTATTAACATGTTGAGGAGACCAAAATCCAGGCGCAGGGAAGAACTGTGGGCATAAATAGTTAAGTCTGGCTGTGATTCTAGAACTGGCTCTCAGGATTGGAAACTCCATATTCTTCCTGGACAAACACCAAAACTACATATTAGACAAATAAATTCAACAGTTCTTTTATGAGAAAGAACCATGGTTGAGAAGACTCACGCTTCATGTCCAGCGAGAATGTGCTGGGCAGAATGGAATCTCTTCATCCAGCTTTGGTAAGTAGAACTATTTGTTACAGAAGCTGGACTTAGATGAATAATACAATTAACAAGCTTAGCTCCATCTGTTGAATTGTCAAGACATGAATAATAACTTTTCATAGACGGTATAGATAGCAGTTCCTCGGCATGTGACTTTGTTGGACAGTCCACAAGCAAAACAACAGGACCAGGAACTGAAGGTCCCATGACATCACTCGGATGAACCTATGATCAAGCGTGAACAGTATTAGTCTGCTTGTATAGAAACTGATACTGGGTTGTGGATATTCCCAATGATTGCTCTTTGAGACATACCGTAATATCTTTAAAATCTGACTTGACTGACTGTCCAGATTGAAGATAACTGTATTTTGGACCAGCTCTCAGTCCAAGAGCCATGGCCTTCTTTGGGTCAAACTTTCCTTTGATTTCAGGTAATTCACATACATATATAACTGCCGTTTCACCAGGTTTGCTGCCGGATTCCTCTAAGTGACTTGGTTCTAAGAGAATGGCGGAGATTTTCACAACTTCGTCATCCACAAGAACATAGGCATCATCTTTGGGTTTACTTAAGCCACTCTGAGGCGTGGAGTCAGATGCATTCAATGATGGACCAAAACTTCTTGTATGAACCATTGCAGCACGAGGGATAAATGACCTCATAGCATCAACTAAATACTTAAGATCCGAAGGACCCCACACGTTTACCTTTGCAACAAAAGAGACTTTAGAAGTTCAGCAATTCCAGTCATTTACTAATTGTCAGAATGGCAAGCATAACCTCAGGAAAAGCAGACAGGAAACATACAAAGAGATCATATGAGAAGAACACTCACGGATAGTCCTTCTTCACCGATACCAGCTAGAGTCAGTAGAAGACCTAAAGCATTTAAAAGAAGAAAACTTATCACCGTTCAATAATCTAGCAACAAACTCATAGAAGCTGATGCATCATGGATCAAGAAAACAAACCTGGAAGCCCACCCGCTGTCTCTGAGCACACGCGAGACAAAAAGATATGATCTACCTGAAAAGAGTAAACAGATCATAACATTTCAAACTCGCCTCATCACACAAAGAAAAGAAACACAATTAGTAGTATGTCCAAAAGACCAAGTTTAATCATACCTTTGATAACTTAATTTTATGTTCTGTACAAAAACGTTGCAACCCCTGCAATTCAATTCTTTAACCAATAAGACTAGAGCCACTAACAAAAAGCTACACACTTTATACTAAAACTGCAGAAAACTTACCTCTCCAGCATTAAAGATGAATCTTTGTTTATCAAAGAAGAGTAATACAGAAGGTGATGTATCCTGTGTATCCATTCCAGTCCCAAGGATCTAACAATGCAGATGAATAGTTCAAAATTATGCATTATCTTTTACATTTTAAGATTGAAATTCAAAGATTGGAGTAGATAGAAATTGAAACCTGGACATAGGCAATGGTGTTGGTAGGATTAAGGGTGCGAGTATTCCTCTTGAGATTCTTCTTAGGCTTATCAATCTTATCCAATCCCTCAGCTCTTCTCTTATTAAACTCGAAAGAATCAGAAGAATGATTAAAACTACTAGCTTTCTCTTTCTCCATCGGAGACCTACCTTTTCTCTTCTGCTCTTCTAAACTACTCCACTTGCGTCTTGGAGGATGAGAAGGGTCACTGCGACGGTAACCGGCGGTGCGAGGAGGACGACGACTCGGACTCGGAGAAGAAGAAGCGAAGATTGGTGGGTAGAGAGAAAAGGGTCTGAGAAAAAGCGCGAAAGAAGAAGACTTGAGAGGAGAAAATCCGAAAAGGCTTAGGTTTTGAGGTACATGACGATGAGGCATTGATGAAGTTAACATTTTCCTCTAAGCTAGTGACAAGCTCAAGCTTCTTCCCGTTTTTTTCTCAGAGTCCTCTCTCTCGATCGATTTTTTTATATATGAAAATGTCAATTTAGCCCATGGGCCTTTATATTACACTTTCGGCCCATAAATCACCCATATAGATGAGAGCTGGGAGGACTCTGAGACAGGTTGATAGACAAAACCTATAGAGGAAATTTCCTACAGCAACGTTGGAGATATAGTATCCATAGGAATATAGTATACAGATTCAAGAAATTGTGATAATTGATGTGAATATCCTTCTTAGATAAAGTAGGTGACCTACGCTGATCTTTAATCATATGACACACTAAAAGCACCTTATTGTTCACAACTTTTACATTTCTTACGTATAATATTTGTAAAATTGACTCAATGGTTACAAACCTTTTGGTTAAGTTCAAAGTGAAAATGTGTTGATCAGCAATGTTGGAGATCGTAAGTCTATATTTATCATGAAGAAATCTTACACAAACTGAATATTAAACCTAAGAAAACAGAGACATGAACAAGGTTCAAGAAAATGAGATAAAATTATTAGACTTGCAATCTGAATCTAAAGGAACCGGGATAAAATTCGGAGCATAAAGACAGTGACAACACCGGAAAACCCCAGAATCAATTGGAATCTTCTTGAACAAATCTCTCCTGACAATATGTAGATGAAAGCCCGCGTTCCACCATCATCTTCACCACAACACATGATTAGGGTGGTCTTGTCATAGATGAAGTAACTAATGCCATAACACTTATTATATAAGTTTGGCAAGTTATTTGTTGGCAAAGTCAACAACTTAATCCACACAACTTCGTCTGTTCCATTGTTGTTACTATCAATCTTCTTCTTCGTAACCCAAATCTCAACGCTCCTTGTCACATAACATTGCTTTAACAAGGACAACCTATCTCCCTTGTAAACTCCGAGAACAAGTACATCGCGAAAATGATTCTCGCGGCACGGAAGGAGACAAAAGTGTTTGAATATATCCCTCGAGAAATCAAAGCTTCGGATGTAAAAGTCTAAAGTGTGGGGAATACGAGTACGCCAATAGAGATTTCCGTTCAAGGACACACTGAATCGTTTAACTTGGCTTAAGGGGCATTGCTCGTTAGATGAATCAATAGACTTGAACGCGTGAGAGGCACACTCGTAGATCGCAACTCTCTCGACTTTACAACCAGATATAAAAGACCCTAAGATCTTGTAAACCTTTTCGGGTCTAGTATTATCGTATCCCACGCCAGAGACATCAAAATATTTATCATTGCACTCGATCCATTTAACTTGTTTCAACCACGGATTCCAGAGTGCTGTAACCTTGGGATAATCCGAATAGTTACAAAACAAGAGACCATCGCAAGTAGTGATGGTTATGTAATCCAAATACAATTCACGGTAAGCGGTACGAGAGGAGGGTAGCTCTCGCAACTTAATCGTTGGATCAACCCCGTCGAGACTGATAATCTCTATCGAATAAATATTGGAATTGGTTATGAAGATGAACTGAGGACGAGCGCGAGCGAAGTGGTTATTGATGAACCTATTCTCATTGCAAATAGCATTCCACTGTTTGCAAACGGATCTGAATCGAGCAAGAGATAAAGGTGGAAGCCGAGAGAGTATTTCTTCCTCCAATTCGCACGGAAGCGTCATAGGCGGCGCCATTACGTCTTCTCGTTTTTTATTTTTTCTCAGCATCTCTTCCTCTCTTTTCCGTTTAGCTAAATTATCTATATATGAATTATTATAAATATAGGAGAAGAAGAAAAACTATATTCTATTTTCTTGTAAGTTAGATAATACTAAGCAGAGAAAACAAGTTTTAAATTTTCCCTTGATTGAATTTTATCAAAAAAAAAAAAAAAAAAAACTTTATCGCTGTCAAAAAAAAAAAAAAAAAAGTTTATCTCTGTTCTTCTGGAATTCACAAGTAAACAACATTATTGTATCTAAACAAGAAATTGAAACCTGGACATAGGCAACGGTGTTGGTAGGGTTAAGGGTGCGAGTATTCCTCTTGAGATTTTTCTTAGGCTAATCGATCGATATTATCCAATCCCTCAGCTCTTCTCTTATTGAACGAGAAAAAATCAGAAGAAGAATTAAAGTACTTGCTTTATCTAAAGAGCTTGGTGAATAGAAAATTAAATGATAAGCAATATGTTACAAACCCTAGATAAATCAAATTACGTGACCTAAATATATTTATAAATTACACACGAGGTAGTTTACCCGCACTATGTCAATTGAACTCGAGAAATATGTCTATTGTTCTTAAGTGTTTGAAATAAATAATTAGTATGTTTGAGATAACAATTTGAAATATGTCTATTTGTAATCTTCTAGTCTGATCCTCTGATGTAATTGCTCTCATGACATGCTCAAAATGGTATCTCTGTTTAAAGGGATTTTTGTATTTTAAGGAAACTAGTTTTTAGAGGTTTTACCAATCTTATACACTAAAGTAGTAGTGAATTTGCAAACGGAGCTCTCACTTTAGTTCATATATATATATATATATATATATATATATATATATATATATATATATATTCTTAAGTGTTTGAAATAAATTTAGTATGTTTGAGATAACAATTTGAAATATGTCTATTTGTAATCTTCTAGTCTGCTCCTCTGATGTAATTGCTCTCATGACATGCTCAAAATGGTATCTCTGTTTAAAGGGATTTTTGTATTTTAAGGAAACTAGTTTTTAGAGGTTTTACCAATCTTATACACTAAAGTAGTAGTGAATTTGCAAACGGAGCTCTCACTTTAGTTCATATATATATATATACTAGTATAATCGCAGCACTTTTTGCGATGGGTGGGTAAAAAAGCTTTTGGGTATATCGGATATCCGACCCATTTTAAAAATTCCTTCACAAAAAATTTGTTGGGTCGGGTTATATTTAACCCAACTCATACACCGGATATTCCATATTTAATAATTTAGATTTTTAGAAGATTTGATTAAGATTTATAATTATGATTCTCCTATCATCTTTGTTTGATTTGTTTTTAACTGTTTTGAATCATCATATAATACATAAAGTAAAAAAAAAAATCAATTTTTTTCTGCATATACTGTGATTCGAAATTTTAAAAACGGACATATATTATCCAATTGACGAAAATGTGTGTTCAACGTTCTACATCGATTAAAATATTTAGACAATGATTCAGAATCATATCATAAATAAGAACATTAATAAAATAAATGAGTTTTTTGCCGGGATGGGTTTGGCGGGACGGGTTTTTGAATCAACAATAATAAAAAGATTAAAATATCATTAATCCGCCGCTTCAATACGGATTTAATCCTTATTTTTTTAATACAAATCACAGGACGGGTTAAGAAATTACGGAACGGGTTATATTTCGGAAATGATTTATATGGCGGACGAATTTGAATCAATATTTATATACCGCTTTAATACGGGTTAAATCCTCAGTTTTTTATAAATATTCTCGTGGACTCGTGGTATACCGTTACTTAATAACAATTGTAAACTATAATATAAATAAATATGTTATAAGGAGATACAATTTACAAAATATTTTTTATACTAAATTAAATCATTCCGCGGTGTACCGCGGGTTAAAATCTAGTATATTGTACAAAAATAACATCAATGAATAACTCACAAAAAAATAATGACAAACAATATGTTACAGACCCTAGATAAATCAAATTACGTGACCTAAATATTTTTATAAATACACATATAACAAACAAATCCTAAAAATTATATGTCCGCCTTGGTGCGTTTCTTCTCCGTGTTGAGCCGTATTACCTCCGATCAAGCTTCTTCTGATAGTCTTTGTAACCAAATCATCCTGCCGGCTGTTTCTCATGACGTCATTGTGCCAATATTTTTTCTTTTCGTTTTCCATACTAAGAATATATATTAATCGATTTTAAAGGCTACCACATTAACTCTTAATCCAAAAGTAATCATATATCAACTAATAAACTTCAAAAACTTCCTTCAGATTTGAACCAATTTAAAAACTCAAAATCCAAAACCAAATATTAGAGTGTATATATGTAGTTGGTTTAGTTTGGTTAGTATCTTTGGTTTAGTTTACTTTGTATTATTTAAGCTTAATCATGTATCACATTTTGACTTGAATGAAGAATTTATCTTTTCCCAGATTCTGTTTATCTCTGTCGATCTTGTTTATAGGAAAAGCTAATACCAAAAGCTAAGAACCTATTTAAAAATTCAATCCATTCGTGGCCTAGAGTTCTACTCAGCTCGTTGCAGATTTTTTTTTTTACCAAACTGACTTAAACCTTACAAAATGAGATTTAGACTTCTAATAAAATAAAAAGAAACGAAAAATTCAAGAAAATGTGATAACATTAGAACTACAATGCTAGCTGTTGCAGCGGGCTATACTAGAGTTCTCAACTATCAACGGATCGTGAGCAAAACTTGTAGCTTAGAGCTCAAGATTTCTTCAAGAGAAAACAAGAGTTCGAAGATTTAGGTTTGAGAATGAATTCTCGATAAGTTTATTAAATTAAAAGCTGTCTTTACAAAGTGGCAAAGTTAAACGCTCAAAATGAGAATGAGGGCAAAACCGCTAGCCCTAAATTAAGCTTGGAAATCCTAGAGCTCATCTTAGAAAAAAGGAAAATAACTAATAAAAAGAAAATCTATAAAACCGACAAAAGAGAAACGTGTGAAAGAAGCTTCTAGATGGTGGTATGAGTGATACGCTGCATCAGGTCACCCAATCTGAACTCTAGAGGAGCGGGATCAAATTGGGAGCATAAACACAGTGACAACACTGGAAAACCCCAGAATTGATTTGAATCTTCTTGAACAAATCTCCCCTAACAATATAGATGCAAGTGGCTCTATTTTCATCGTCACAACAACACATGATAAGGGTGGTCTTGTCATAGATGAAATAACTAATGCCATAAAACTTATTAATTAAGCTTGGCAAGTTAGTTGTTGGCAAAATCATTAAGTTAATCCACACAATATCCTCTCCACCGTTGTTACTAGTATCAATCTTCTTCTTCGTAACCCAAATCTCGACGCTCCTTGTCACATAACATTGCTTTAACAAGGAAAACCCATCTCCCTTAAAAACTGAGAGGAAAAGTACATCGCGAGATCGGTTCTTCCTACACGGAGTGAGACAAAAAGCTTTGACTATATCCCTCGAGAAATCAAAGCTTTGGATGTAATACTCATGAGTGTTGGGATTACAAGCAACCCAATAGAGATTTCCGTTCAAGGACACATTTCCTCGTGTAGCTTGCTTTATGGGCCAGTCCTCGTCAGGTGTATCAATATACTTAAACGCTTGAGACACACACTCGTAAATGGCAACTCTCTGGTGGTAATCTCTCTGGACTTGACGATGACGCACAAAATACCCAAAGATCCTGTAATACTTTTTCGGTATAGTATTATCGTATCCTAAGCCAAAAACATAGAACTCTTTATCCTCGTACTCGATCCATTTAACCTGTCTCAACCACGGATTCCAAAGTGCTGTCCCCTTAGCCGAAACAAAAAAGTTACAAAACAAGAACCCATCGCAAGTAGTGATGGTTGTGTGATCCAAATCTAATTCCCGGTAAGGAATACCAGAGGAGGCTAGCTCACGCAATTCTATGGTTGGATCAATGCCGTCTAAATCGATGATTTCTATCGAATAAATATTGGAATTGTCCAGTAAGATGAATTGAGGCCGGGCGCGGCCAAAGTGGTCGTTGATGAACCTATTTTCGTTGAAAAGATCATTCCATAGTTTGCAAACTGATCTGAAACGAGCAAGAGAGAGAGGTGGAAGCCGAGAGAGTATATCTTCCTCCAATTCGTACGGAAGCTTCACAGGCACCGCCATTAAATCTTCTCTTTTCATTTTTTTGTTTTTTCTCAGCATCTTCTTCTTTTTTTTTCCGTTGATTTAACTCTTCAAGTGAAAAAGGCTAAATTATATATGAAATAAAATTTATTGTAAATTTAGGAGGAGTAGAGAAATCTTGAATGGCTGCAGATTGATCTGAAGTGTTTTTGGTTTTCGATTTTGCAAAAACTAATTTATAAGCTTTATGATAAAATAGTTTCTTTTTTTTTTTGGTAGACATGATAAAATAGTTTCTTAATAAATGGAAAATTGAGATGATTTTACCATTTTCTTTACAGAATCCAAAAACCAAATTCTATTTTTGATTTCCTTAAAATCTATTGATTTTTTAATTTATTATTATTATATTAAAATTTTATTATATATTTTTGTAGACGATAAATTTTAAAAATTAAAACAGAAAACTTAAAAGACTTTTTTAAAAAAACATAATTGTAGATAAAAACCAAAAACTGAAATCTATATCAGAAATTGAAAAAAAAAAACAATCCAAAAAAAAAAAAAAATTGCAAAACCTTCTTGTGGCCTGTTATATTTTCTGATAAGCGAGATAAAAATTTAATTGGTTTGTGCTTAATAGGTAATTCAAATTACGATTTTAATTGGTTTCTTTTATAGGATATTTTTTTTTGGTAGGATATTAACAATAATAATGATATGGCAAGAAAGAGAATTCTTCATTAACGAACAAAAAGATCACACATATATATTTTCACTAAAAGAACAAAATTTGGATTAGGGATCTTAGAAAATGGGCGGATGTCTTTCACACGTATTGACTGCTTTTAGCCGTAGAATATCTTGACAGAATTCCCGATTTTACTTGTAAATCAAGATTAGTATATTCTCTATATTAAGTGCACTTGATGATAATTGCATAAAATATAAAAGATTAAAATCAATACGAATAGTTTTCTATTGTAAATAAATCTATTAGCTATGTTAGTTGCCGAAATAAACCTTTTTTGTATAAACTTTATTCATCTTATCATTTCCCAAAATAGACAACATTTAAAAGTGATATTTGGAAACAAGAAGATGAATAGAAAAGAAATTAAAGCAATAAAAACCAGCAAGACGTAAGTGAAGCAAGAGGAATGAAAAGAGTCAACACTGAATAAAACCTATTAGAGTATGGTTTGATATGGTTTAGTAAAATTGATTTCTGTTATTGTAAACCGGAGTAAACCGGTCGTTCTGTTTTACACTATAAGTAAAACATGTAATCGATGCAGAATCATTAATGAGAATAACGATTTGTTCTTCATCGTTGTAACAAACTTTCTTCTCTAACATGGTAGCAGAGCGATGGATCTTCAAAATCCATCCGATCTTGACCTAGCTTTCTTCTTATCTCGTTGATTTCGATATATGTAAATTCAAATGTCAAGTGGCTTGTACACAAAGAATGCTACTTGGGCTAGCAAAACGTTTGATAGAGCGAGAAGAGTCGGAATATTTTTGTTATTGTGTTTGTTACATCAGTGTGAGAAGAACCTCAAAACACACATAGAGTTAACCAAAAAAACCAAACTAAATAGAATAACCAAAACTAAAGATTTATAATTTGTAAACGATATAGAAAATCATGACCTAAAAACTTAAGTAAGTCATGGTTCCATACGAGCCTAGATTTTTACAATCTTTCTCCTTACATATGCGACCTTCGATATTCAAATCGAGCAATTCCAGTTTGGAGCGTGTGTGTAAAACCGCTGTAAATGTAGATGGGTTAAAGCATGATAGGACGTTTTGAACAAGCTTCTCCAAAGAATGTGTTTCACAACCACACACCTCAAAACTTGCAAAACTAAAGCCCTCTTCTGGTGTCACATGGATGGTGTAAACAGAGTTGCTTCCAACAACCCCGTTCATGGAGTAACCGCAAGTAGGAAACTCGTGATCGCAGATACTGGACTCCGGGAAGATCTGGTCGATCCCAGAAGCGGAAGTCATGCTTCCAGGTATACCACTATCTTTGAAGAAGACTGACGCTTTCGATTTTTCAATCCCCGTCATAAGAATCTCGACGGTTACACCATCAGAAACAGAGGAGCCGGATGCGGCTGCCGCAAAGATATGAAACTTGTGTTTCTCGTCCGTACCAAACTCAGCAGTCACCGTGTCGTCCAATTCCAAAAAGTTTCTCCTCAGTTCTGATACCTCTGACGGGAAGTTTCCGTGGGGCTCAGGTTGTCTTTCCGGCCAGAAGTAGGTGCCGCGTGTAAACTTTACACCAACTGGTGTTCGTTTTGAGAGACCAAGAATCTTTGTAATAGCTTGAAAGAGTTTTATTTCACCGCAGGTCTTGATGATGAGCCGGTCGTCGAACACAAAAAGGCTAGACGCTGATAACAAGTATGAATCAACGGAAGCCGTCAACAGCTTATCTACGATCCAACAGTCTATAGATCGGAGAATGTCGTGCCAAACTTCTTCTGTGAGCACCTCTCTAAGACTATCTTCTTCTTTCCGGAAGACAATCTCAAGACGTTTTTCGACTCCCTCGAATTCGGTAGTCATCGTATGCCGCTGAGTCAAAAACGAGTCAAGAATTTGGTTATTATATCGGATACGAGAAGCGAGCGAGAGAGAGAGAGAAGAGTCAGAATTGATTTAGGGTTAGGTTTAATGCGTTTAAGGGTTTGGTTTTATATATTCCTTTGGTTTAATACAATTCCTTTTAGGATTAGAATATATCTGCGTTCAAGGATCTGGTTTAATATGTGCATATAAGGATATGGTTTTGATATTTGTGCATTTAATTCTCCCCCTTCTTAAATCTATTTGTGCATTTAAAATTACTTTAATTCTCCTATAACCGAACATAAGCAAAAGCTGAATTATTCTTTATTAAGAAAAAAAAAAGAAGCTGAATTATATATATATATATATAGTATAATTTCGATTATTTTCACAAGTTCCGATTGCTAGAGATCGTGGGATAATTGTGCTTTAATTTTTTTCCAGCTTTTCCTTTGTTGCCAAAATAATTTTTTTTTATTTCATTTCAGCTTTTTTTAGAGCAAACCATATTCGATGTTTTCACTTTTCACCGCATCAATTTTAACCGAGAACAAACTGATTGTCTTTTATTTCTTTCTGATAACTAAGTATATATATATATATATATATATATATATATATATATATATATATATATGAGGAGAAGAGGAACTATATTTAGGGGGTTTATTGGATAATTGATTTGAATGGAATTGGAAATCCAAGTAAAATCATGAGTTATTCAATCATTGATTTTAAATTTTTTATAAAAATCATATGTTATTGGTTCTATGATTTACAAATACTAGTTAAAATCACCCCTTATTCAATATTGAAGATTTGAGTATGGATTTGATTTCATATTAGATTTGAATGGATTTGAAAATCTGTTTTAGTTATAAACAGAGAGATTGAAATCCTATTGGATTTGAATGGATTTGAAAATCTGTTTTAGTTATAAACAGAGAGATTGAAATCTTTGGGTTCCACCTAATTATTTGGGTGGATTTGAAAGAATATTAGTAGTTTTTATCTTCCATAATGCAAGTATGACGTAGAGCAATGTTTTGAATATCAAAAAGAAAAAAAAAACTGCTAATACAAAAATCACGAAACATCTTCGTATAATACTTTCAAGCATATCGATCACAAAAAAAAACTGCTAATACCAAAGATCATAAAACACCTTCATATAAAAGTATATTTTATCATATAATAAAAATCAAAAATACTAGAAAACAAAGGGAAGTTTTCGAAACCAAACAAGAGTAGAGGAAAAAATCTAAAAAAACCAACAATACTAGAAAAAAAAAAATTAATCTAGCATTCTATAATGTTACGCTTAATCCAACGATGACGTTCATTAGTGGACATATTAACAAAGACTTCTTTCATTCCTAATTGGTGAATCACTTTAACCGCATCGTAACGAACGGTTTTTTCCAAATTATGGACTTCTTTGATATCTTCCCATATGTGTGGAGAGAACAATCAGTCGAGAGAAACAAGAGCATCAAACATGTGACATGTGGAGTGATTCAATTCAGAGTTCATAGATGAGAACATGATAGGTTATTTTGTTTATCATAAAAAATTTCATGTTTTAATTTTATAATCTCTTTTTTATGATTTTCAAATCTATTTATTTGACTCTAAAATCATTTGATTTTCAAATCCACATTGTTTGATTTTAAAATCAGTGGATTATGTGTGAATTTCCAAATGTTATAAAGATTTCTAATTCTATTCAAATCAATGATCCAATAACCACTCCTTAATTTTCTGATAAGAGTAGAAAAAGACAACAGCTTTATTCTTTAGATATATCATAAATAATATGAAACAAGATGATCTAAAAGTCAGACTCTCCCTGTCCGAAAAAGAAACGACAACTCCCGTCTAGGGCTTTTAAGCTTATGAAAGGCCCATTGATAATTAAATTGATTATTTGTGGCTTTTAATAAATTGGTTTTTTGGATAGTTTTTCTTAAATTTAAGGAAACCATTTTTTAGAGTCTTTCCCAATCTTATAAACTAAGATCTAGATTTTAACCCGCGGTACACCGCGAGATGATTTATTTTTAAAGTTAGTATAAAAATATTTTGTAAATTGTATCTTTTTATAAAATATTTATTTATATTTTATAGTTTACAATTCATATTAAGTAACGGTATACCACGAATCCACGAGACAATTGTTAATAAATTGAGGATTTAACCCGTATTAAAGCGGCATGTTAATGATATTTATAAATATTGATTCTTATTTGTCCGCCATATAAACCCTTTCCAAAATATAACTCGTTCCGTAATTTCTTAACCCGTCCCGTGGTTTATTTTTATTTTAAAATTTAATGATTATTTATTATATATAAACGCTTACAAATCATATCATTCTCTAAGACATTTATATTTTAATAAAGTGAAGATTTAATCTGTATTAAAGCGGCATGTTAATGATATTTTAAAATTTTATAAATATTGATTCAAACTCGTCCACCATATAACTTAGTTCTGAAATATAACCCGCCCTGTAACTTCTTAACCCGTACCGTGATTTGTTTTCTAAAAGTAGTAATTTTTAAAATTTAACGATTATTTATTATATATAAAAGTTTGCAAATTTTATAATTTTTAAGATATTTATATTTTATAGTTTACAATTATTATTAAGTAACATTATAGCACGGGACAATTTTTGGTTTTATACAATATTTTCTAAATGAGACTGATTTAATATGTCTAATATTGGTGGTATTAAAAAAATTAAGGATTTAATCCGTATTGATGCGGCGGATTAATGATATTTTAATCTTTTTATTATTGTTGATTCAAAAACCCGTTCCGCCAAACCCGTCCCGCCAAAAAACTCATTTATTTTATTAGTGTTAATCTTATTTATGATATGATTCTGAATCATTGTCTAAATATTTTAATCGGTGTAAAACGTTGAACACACATTTTTGTCAATTAAATAATAAATGTCCGTTTTTAAAATTTTGAATCACAATATATGCAGAAAAAAAAATTGATTTTTTTTTTTACTTATGTATTATATGATGATTCAAAACAGTTAAAAACAAATCAAACAAAGATGATAAGAGAATCATAATTCTAAATCTTAATCAAATCTTCTAAATATCTAAATTATTAAATATAGAATATCCGGTGTATGAGTTGGGTTTTATTTAACCTAATCCAAGTATTTTTTTGTGAAGGAATTTAAAAAACGGATCGGATATCCGATTATCCCAGAAGCATTTTTATCTACCCATCACCAAAGTGTTACAAAAATACTAGTATAGATGTAGTAGTTAATTTGCACTATGTTACAAACCCTAGATAAATCAAATTACTTGACCTGTATATATTTATTTATTTTTGTTTTTGTTTTTTATCACACTAACTTAAATCTTACAAAATCAGATTTAGATTTCTAATAAAACAAACAGAAACGAAAAATTCAAGAAAATGTGATAACACATTAGAACTATAGCTGTTGCAGCGGGATATACAAGAGTTCTCAACTATCAACGGATCGTGAGCAAAACTTGTAGCTTAGAGCTCAAGATTTCTTCAAGAGAAAACAAGAGTTCGAAGATTTAGGTTTGAGAATGAATTCTCGATAAGTTTATTAAATTAAAAGCTGTCTTTACAAAGTGGCAAATTTAAACGCTCAAAATGAGAATGAGGGCAAAACCGCTAGCCCTAAATTAAGCTTGGAAATCCTAGAGCTCATCTTAGAAAAAGGAAAATAACTAATAAAAAGAAAATCTATAAAACCGACAAAAGAGAAACGTGTGAAAGAAGCTTCTAGATGGTGGTATGAGTGATACGCTGCATCAGGTCACCCAATCTGAACTCTAGAGGAGCGGGATCAAATTGGGAGCATAAACACAGTGACAACACTGGAAAACCCCAGAATTGATTTGAATCTTCTTGAACAAATCTCCCCTAACAATATAGATGCAAGTGGCTCTATTTTCATCGTCACAACAACACATGATAAGGGTGGTCTTGTCATAGATGAAATAACTAATGCCATAAAACTTATTAATTAAGCTTGGCAAGTTAGTTGTTGGCAAAATCATTAAGTTAATCCACACAATATCCTCTCCACCGTTGTTACTAGTATCAATCTTCTTCTTCGTAACCCAAATCTCGACGCTCCTTGTCACATAACATTGCTTTAACAAGGAAAACCCATCTCCCTTAAAAACTGAGAGGAAAAGTACATCGCGAGATCGGTTCTTCCTACACGGAGTGAGACAAAAAGCTTTGACTATATCCCTCGAGAAATCAAAGCTTTGGATGTAATACTCATGAGTGTTGGGATTACAAGCAACCCAATAGAGATTTCCGTTCAAGGACACATTTCCTCGTGTAGCTTGCTTTATGGGCCAGTCCTCGTCAGGTGTATCAATATACTTAAACGCTTGAGACACACACTCGTAAATGGCAACTCTCTGGTGGTAATCTCTCTGGACTTGACGATGACGCACAAAATACCCAAAGATCCTGTAATACTTTTTCGGTATAGTATTATCGTATCCTAAGCCAAAAACATAGAACTCTTTATCCTCGTACTCGATCCATTTAACCTGTCTCAACCACGGATTCCAAAGTGCTGTCCCCTTAGCCGAAACAAAAAAGTTACAAAACAAGAACCCATCGCAAGTAGTGATGGTTGTGTGATCCAAATCTAATTCCCGGTAAGGAATACCAGAGGAGGCTAGCTCACGCAATTCTATGGTTGGATCAATGCCGTCTAAATCGATGATTTCTATCGAATAAATATTGGAATTGTCCAGTAAGATGAATTGAGGCCGGGCGCGGCCAAAGTGGTCGTTGATGAACCTATTTTCGTTGAAAAGATCATTCCATAGTTTGCAAACTGATCTGAAACGAGCAAGAGAGAGAGGTGGAAGCCGAGAGAGTATATCTTCCTCCAATTCGTACGGAAGCTTCACAGGCACCGCCATTAAATCTTCTCTTTTCATTTTTTTGTTTTTTCTCAGCATCTTCTTCTTTTTTTTTCCGTTGATTTAACTCTTCAAGTGAAAAAGGCTAAATTATATATGAAATAAAATTTATTGTAAATTTAGGAGGAGTAGAGAAATCTTGAATGGCTGCAGATTGATCTGAAGTGTTTTTGGTTTTCGATTTTGCAAAAACTAATTTATAAGCTTTATGATAAAATAGTTTCTTTTTTTTTTTGGTAGACATGATAAAATAGTTTCTTAATAAATGGAAAATTGAGATGATTTTACCATTTTCTTTACAGAATCCAAAAACCAAATTCTATTTTTGATTTCCTTAAAATCTATTGATTTTTTAATTTATTATTATTATATTAAAATTTTATTATATATTTTTGTAGACGATAAAATTTAAAAATTAAAACAGAAAACTTAAAAGACTTTTTAAAAAAACATAATTGTAGATAAAAACCAAAAACTGAAATCTATATCAGAAATTGAAAAAAAAAAACAATCCAAAAAAAAAAAAAAATTGCAAAACCTTCTTGTGGCCTGTTATATTTTCTGATAAGCGAGATAAAAATTTAATTGGTTTGTGCTTAATAGGTAATTCAAATTACGATTTTAATTGGTTTCTTTTATAGGATATTTTTTTTTGGTAGGATATTAACAATAATGATATGGCAAGAAAGAGAATTCTTCATTAACGAACAAAAAGATCACACATATATATTTTCACTAAAAGAACAAAATTTGGATTAGGGATCTTAGAAAATGGGCGGATGTCTTTCACACGTATTGACTGCTTTTAGCCGTAGAATATCTTGACAGAATTCCCGATTTTACTTGTAAATCAAGATTAGTATATTCTCTATATTAAGTGCACTTGATGATAATTGCATAAAATATAAAAGATTAAAATCAATACGAATAGTTTTCTATTGTAAATAAATCTATTAGCTATGTTAGTTGCCGAAATAAACCTTTTTTGTATAGACTTTATTCATCTTATCATTTCCCAAAATAGACAACATTTAAAAGTGATATTTGGAAACAAGAAGATGAATAGAAAAGAAATTAAAGCAATAAAAACCAGCAAGACGTAAGTGAAGCAAGAGGAATGAAAAGAGTCAACACTGAATAAAACCTATTAGAGTATGGTTTGATATGGTTTAGTAAAATTGATTTCTGTTATTGTAAACCGGAGTAAACCGGTCGTTCTGTTTTACACTATAAGTAAAACATGTAATCGATGCAGAATCATTAATGAGAATAACGATTTGTTCTTCATCGTTGTAACAAACTTTCTTCTCTAACATGGTAGCAGAGCGATGGATCTTCAAAATCCATCCGATCTTGACCTAGCTTTCTTCTTATCTCGTTGATTTCGATCAATTTCTGCGTTTTGTTCGCCGGAATTGTTGTATCGATCACATTTTCTTCATCTCCGTCGTGAAATCTTGTTTTCCGATGGCTCCAGCTCGCAAAATCACTCGTCGCACGGTCCGCGTTCCTGTTTCAGCTCGCAGATCGGTTAATCGCGATGGTTCTTCTTCTTCCGAAGGTTCTCATGTTAATCGGAATCACAATTCAACTCCGGTGACTGTATCGCATGATAGCATACATTCTCCGTATCACTTAACTAATAGTGATAATCCTGGTATTTCTATTGTCTCTGAAGTGTTTGATGGAACAAATTATGATGATTGGCAAATTGCGATTAAGATAGCTTTAGATGCGAAGAACAAGCTAGTTTTCATTGATGGATTTGTTCCGCGACCTCTTGAATCAGATTCTATGTTCAGGATTTGGTCTCGTTGTAACAGCATGGTGAAATCTTGGTTATTAAACTCAGTGTCAAAGCAAATTTACAAAAGCATTCTTCGTTTTAATGATGCCTCAGAGATATGGAATGATCTATTGACTCGTTATCACATTATTAATCTTCCGCGATCATATCAGTTGTCTCAACAGATTTGGTCACTTCAACAGGGTACTATGGATCTTGCAACATATTATACTACTCTGAGAACTTTGTGGAATGAATTGGATGCTTCTGATTGTGTCAAGTTGTGCAAAAATTGTGAATGTTGTAAAACTATGGATAAAAGAGGAGATAATGCTCGTGTTATTAAGTTTTTGGCTGGCTTGAATGAATCTTATGCAATCATTAGAAGCCAAATCATAATGAAGAAGCATGTTCCTTCCCTAGCTAAGATTTACAATTTGTTGGATCAGGATCACAGTCAGAGAAGTTTTACACCAATTCCTTCTAATGCAGTGGCTTTTCATGTTTCTGCACCTGAATCAGTTCAAGCTTCAGTTAATGCTACATATGTTAAACCACAAAAGGTTATATGTTCTCACTGTGGTTATACAGGACACATAGTTGATAAATGCTACAAGATACATGGGTATCCGATGGGGTTCAAGCACAAGAACAAGAATCAAGCAGATAAAACTGTGAATGTCAACCACACAGCTCCTGTTAAACCTGTAGTGGCTCAATTGGCAATGACAGAGACTGCTACTAATGATTTACTTACTGGACTTACAAGAGTTCTTACTAAAGATCAGATCAATGGTGTTGTTGCCTACTTTAATTCTCAGCTTCAGACTGCATCCCCTACTACTGCATCTTCTTCTGGTGCAATGATCACCGCATTACCTGGTATATCTTTCTCTTCTTCTACTATTGGTTTTGTTGGAGTTTTGAGAGCGACAGGTAATGTCTTGTCTTCTGAATCATGGATTATTGATAGTGGAGCAACATATCATGTCTGTCATGATAAAGCTTTATTTCTGAGTTTATCTGAAACTTTGAATAATTCAGTGACATTACCAACTGGTTTTGGAGTTAAGATCACTGGTATTGGAACAGTTAAACTGAATGAGTTTCTAATACTGAATAATGTGCTTTATATTCCTGACTTTAGGCTGAATCTTCTGAGCATCAGTCAGTTGACTAAAGATCTTGGATATAGAGTAACATTTGATATAGCTTCCTGCATTATACAGGATCCTATCAAGGGGCTGATGATTGGTAGAGGAGAGCAAATTTCCAATCTATATGTCTTGGATGTTCAGAGTGTTGTCAATCCTGCAGATCCAATCGAGCGAGTTTGGCCGAGTTTGAGATAAGAAGAGTGAATTTTAGAATTCCTTTCTATCATAAGCATAAAATAACTGAAAGTGAAATTTAATCTAGAATTAAAATAAACATTTTGAGATTTTAAGTGTGTTTTCATTTTATTTTTTGGGTGATTTTAATTGTCATTTTCGAACTAATAAATATAAGTTAATCTCAATGCAACTGAAAAAAAGAGCAAATTATACCAAAGATGAAAACAATAGGTTTAGAACGTTTTAAACTATCACAGAATAAAAGTCATAACTAGAAAATCAGAACACGCAAAGCATTTTTCAATAAACAATCAAAGAGACAAAGACAATAGTAGAAAAACAAAATGACACAAAAGTAATAATAATAAATAATAAATAAAAAAAATAATACGGAAACAAAGAAATATACAAAACTTTAAGGGCATGGAAGAGATAGATGGGATAAATGAAAAATATGTGAAAACAAAAACTGAAGATGATAAATTGAGAAAGTTAAAAATTACTCCCTCCGTTTCGTTTTACTTGTCGTTTTAGAGTTAAAATTTTGTTTCATATTACTTGCCGTTTTATATTTACAATGCAAATTTATGACAGATTTTCCAGTTTTAACCATACTTTTTAGCTTATTAATTACATATATCAAACAAAATAATATATTAATTAGGGGTAAAACAATAACTTTAATCGTTTTCTTAATTTGTGTGAAATAACCTAGAACGACAAGTAATATGAAACGGAGGGAGTATTATAACTTCAGAATTTAGATGAACCATAGTATGAAAAACAAGTAAATAATTGGAAAAAATAGATGAAAGAAAAGTCATCAAGAAAAAAAATTAAAATATAAATAAATAGTATTGATAGTAATTTATATTTATTCACGACAGAATAAAAAATTGGGTATAACGGGTTTTCTTCTGATCACAATAATAAGCCTTTCAATATGATAGTATATTCATATTTATATATATCATGGTTCCCCACTTACGCCTTGACATCTTTAAAACTGCAAATATAGCCATCAACTTCTAGATTCACGGTATCTATGTTGGAGTTCGAGATTAAATGCATAGTGACTATGAATTGTGAGGGTCCGAAGCAATCTACAACTTTTTCACGACTTGATTGAAATCTTCTATTGCCTTGAATTCACAACGATAGGCTTCAAAGCTTACGAAGTTGAATGCATGCTCCGGAGTAACATGAATAGTGTAATGGAGCTCCCTTTGATGCCATTCATCGAGTACCCACACGGATTGAATTCATACTCAGGAATCTTCGACTCAGAGAAAATTTGATCAATTCCGGAAGCACTCTTCATTATTCCATCAACATCACTCTTAAAAATATAGTAGCTTTTTTCTTGTCAAGCCCTTTCATCAGTATTAACAAGAAAAAAACTTCTATCTTTTCTTGTCAAGCCCTTTCTTAAAAATGATATTCTAAAACATTTTGAAATTGTGTTGAAATATTTTACATGAATGATGACACAAAACTCTTTCAACAATTCCGTTCATAGAGTAGTCACAAGGAGATAACTTGAAATCATTTCAATATACTTTAAAATAAATTTGATGTCCTTGTGAAAACATATCATCTAATTAAAACAAATAAAACATGTATTTCACAATATCATATGCCCTAAGGATGGAAGGACAACAACTCTATAAAAAACTGCAAAATGCATACACTTATTATTAACTTGTCCAATCTTTGTACATGTTTATTGAGTCGAACTAAATTACGTACATGCAAATGAAACGATTTAAGCTTTTATAAAAGAAAAACACACTAAATAGACAAAAAAAAAATCAAAGAAAAAAACCGATATTAATTTATATCAAATCAAAAATAACAAAATTCAGTTTGATTTAGTTTCTAGATTTTAAACTGAAAATTCAAAAAACCTATAAACGAGAAAATAAAAAAAATAATTAAAAATGAGTCATGGGCTTGAATGTTTAATAGTTTTTTGTAATGGATTTTTTTTTTGTTTATGAAAAACAGTGAATCTAGGTTAGGACGATTTTAACGAATTTCAATGACAATCTAAAAACCATCTTATTTGAGTTTTTCATTTTTCATAAACAAATTCTTGTGAAGTGACATTTTTTGCTATTTATTTACTTTTTATTTCCTTGATATTTGCTAAAACCGAAAACTAGAATCTGATATCCAAAAACCAAAAATTATAATCTAAAAGCTCCTTTAAAAGGCACAACCATTCATGGCCATATGTATTCTTGTTTTACGTAGAAGCTATTAGCTATATATCGGAAAAACGGTTGGTTAGTCAATTGACTAAACCGGCGCATATATTGGATAAGAGATAAAAGAGGCACCACTCGCCTCCACAGAAACCTTATGGCATATAAAACATTATCTCAATTAAAGACCAACCTTTTTTTTTTTTTTGGTTCTGTTTTATATTTTATTGTTTTTAAAAAAGATCAGAGCAAGACTATGGGAAGTGTACAGTTGAATGGTTCAGGCTTAGTAGCTTCTCTACCTCCAAATCATAGCTTTAGCCACAAAACCAAACTTAGTAATCCTAAGTCATACTTCTTGCGCTCAAAACACAATGCCGCCGGAACCAAAACCGTCCGAGCCATAAGCACCGCACCAGCTAGCCAGCCTCCAGCCGCAGATGAGCCCGACGAACCTCCTGCTGTCGATTTTGCGTTCGTCCATGTAAGTGATCTTTACTCTTGACAAATTATCTACACTCTTTTAAATCATTCGTTGTGCTGTTTAAATATATTTTGTGGTGAATTTTGAATGGATTTTAATTGATAATATAAAATTTAATTAATTGGGGATAATGTTGATTATTAGTCGGTGTTGTTGCCGGACGGGACACCGGACGTGCATTGGAGAAGAGCGTGTGGTGGACAGAAACTAAGAGACATAATGTTGGATTCTAACATCGAACTCTATGGTCCTTATGTATGATATTTTCTCTCCCTCGATTTGATTATTGCTCATAATCTAATTAGTTTAGAGTATCATTTTCACGTGTCATTAATTTCGCAGAGTAAGCCTTTGTCAAACTGCGCAGGAGTAGGAACTTGCGCTACTTGCATGGTCGAGGTATACATATCTTATAGCAATTCTTTAATTATTAATCAATAAGCTTTAATTCAAAATTCATTTGATGGTTTATCAGATTCAGATACAACTTAATTTATTCCTGATCATGGAATATTGATGGATATTTCTTTTCAGATTGTAAATGGAAAGGAGCTTCTAAATCCACGAACTGATATTGAAAAGGAGAAACTCAAAAGGGTACATATATTCTTATCTTATAATTTATACTATAGTATTAGTAATCTTGTATCATTTTGTTATGGTATAGTTAAAATAAGTAATGTTTTCACAGAAACCAAAAAATTGGAGACTAGCTTGTCAAACCAACGTGGGAAATCCAGATTCTACCGGATTGGTAATATATAACCTCTCTGATCTCTATTATATAATGTACAATTTTTTCTATACATGTGACTAATTGATATTAATAAACTATTGCATAGGTTGTCATACAACAATTGCCAGAGTGGAAAGCTCATGAATGGAACATCCCTAAGAATATACCTAATGACGATGATCTCGAAACTTCTACGTGAAACCATCCATTGTCATTATTGTTACTATATCATAAAACTGTAACGCTCGATTTTTTTAATATGTGGATCGATAATTAGCCATACAACTACCTATTTAGGTAAAACTATATGATTATATAAAATGATTAATTTATAAACAAATAAACAGCCATCCATTAAATAATATTCATACAAATTGGATAAAAATGACAACGAAACCGGATTAAAGTCCAAACAAAACAAGAAAGATCGAGACAAAGTAACCAAACACAGAAACATGAATCAAGAATCATCACTTGTTTGCTTAGAAATCAGCAGAAGCAAGAGGAGCATGTTCGGAAGAACCCATGAAGACATTTCCGTAGATAAGTCCAGCAAGTCCACCACCGATGAGTGGTCCCACCCAATAGACCCAGTGACCAGAGAAGTCTCCGGCTGCAACAGCTGGTCCAAAGGAACGTGCTGGGTTCATGGATCCACCGGAGAATGGACCAGCGGCGAGAATGTTGGCACCAACGATAAGACCGATGGCGAGAGGAGCGATGGTTCCGAGAGAACCCTTCTTGGGATCAGCGGCGGTGGCGTAGACGGTGTAGACCAAAGCGAAGGTGATAATGATCTCCATCACTACTCCTTCTAACGCTCCTAGTCCAGCCCCAACGCTGTGGGTTGGAACCGCCTGCGTTTTCAATGGTTTTAGCGTTTGATCATTAGTTTCTAATAATCAAACTGCGTCACTAGAATTGGCTACTAGTGTAAATGGAACCTGCGAAAACTCTAATAATTTTTTCATTTGAAATAGACAAAAACCTATACTATTCTATAACTTCACTTTTAAACAAATCAAGCCCTTTTGTCCAATAAAAAACAAATCATGTGTCTACTACTCCCTCCGTATCAACGCTAACATAACATACGGAATAATATATACGATGAAATCATAGAGAATATATTTTGTTGGACCTTGTAAACTACTATCTTATTTTGTAACCTAGTTTCAATCGATTAAGATTGTCTTTAAATACCCTATATTCTGTATTATTTTCTTTTTGTTGTTTTGTAGACTGCTTATACTATGATTTTATTTTACGTGTAAGAAAGGAATGGTGATGAGGACATACCAATCCACCGGTGACGTATTTAAGGAGGAAACAAGCGGCGGTGGAGCCGAGAAGCTGAGCGATCCAGTAGAAAACTCCGGTGATGACTGTGATTTGACCACCGACTGCAAGACCGAAAGTGACGGCTGGATTCACATGGCCACCGGAAATGTTGGCTCCGATTGCAACCGCCACAAAGAGGGCAAAACCATGGCAAACCGCGATGGCCACTAGTCCCGGCGTATCAAGGGCAGCGTCCGACGTCAGCTTCGCTATATACATAAATGTGACACGTTCATTAAGTATTGGATCCATTAATTGTTACAAATTACGAAAATTATTTAGAGTTATTTCACTACAAATTTACGAACCGTAGGCAATGGCAGAGCCAACACCAGCAAAAACAAAGAGCAAAGTGGAGATGAACTCAGCAAGGTAAGCTCTAAGCGAAGCCAAGCTGAAGGAATCATCAAAAGAACCAAAGGCAACTCCAGCCATTGTAGTAGATGAAGAAGAAAGAAGAAGGAAATGTTTTGAAGGTTTTTTTGCTTAGTGAAGAAGATGATAAGACCTTTTGCATGCTCTTCTCTTTATATAGGAGCCTTTGTTCATATATCCATGCATAATTTAAAATTTATAAAATTACTATTTAATGAGTTTTTATGGTGGGTTGGACACGAATTAATAAATGATTTCATGAGTTTCCACTTTGATACATATCTATATATCTATTCGTGATTTGAGTTAGGAAGGTGCCTGAAAAGACTAAAATAGATGACATTTACGTAAGAAAACTCTATTTCTTTGAGTACTAACACAAATTATTATCTAGTAATACATTTTAGTGTATGTGTACTATATATACATTTTATTATAATGTATAATGTATTCATCTTATATACGCATTCATAATCCAATAGCGGCTAGTCTTCCCGATGTTCTCATTATTTGAACTACAAATTAACTATAGTACTATACTACTACCCAAGATAAGTAAAATGTTCAATGCAGTATCAACAAATTATTTGAAGTTTTTAGTGGGTTGTTGTTTTATTTAAGACTGGCTAGTGATGGATTTTTTGGTTAGGAACTTTTTCTTTGACAATATCATGGTATAGCGGCGGTATGTCTTATAAAGTAGTCAAAATTTTGGATCGGATTTTCATATTAGTAGAAAAGGTCGGTTTAAAGTAATATGGCCGGTTTAACGTGATTGAAATTAGAGGTGGTGGAGGGTGGACCCAAAGGACAGAGTAGCTTCAAAATTCAAAAAGGGATAAACATAAAGATGATATTAGAGTAGAGAGAGAAGAAAACAAATGGATGTGAACAAAAATAAGGAGGGACAAGTGTGAGCTGTAAACAATGTGTATGGTGATAGACCGGCCAAAATATGATTGTGGTTACTGGTTGCATGTGACATGATCTTCTTCTTCTTCTTTTTTCAAGTGATTTGATCAGATTTTGAAGATGTGACTCATTTATGATTATATTCCATTTCAACAATGTTAGTTTGGGTCCCTCCTTTATTTACCTCTTCTATGAACATTCTCCATCATATTCATTGATCTACAATCCTTTTTTTTTTGATGAATGTACAAATATTATTTGTTATTTCACAATCTTGTACAACATTTATGATTCACAATGCTGTACAATTTTAACTCTTACTGATGAATCCAATGCTATCTAGATTTGTTGTTTAGCAATCAAGTTATTGGTTTGAACGTATGAAATTTGAATATGAGCTTCTTCTTGTTTTTGTATTATATGCCGTGATATACGGTTGTTGCCATGAATAGTTGCAATGGTAATAACATTTTTCTTTAGCATTAAAAAACTTGAGATTTACATAATATATCAGTTTTCATGTCCCTCTAAAATTTTAATTTTTATACTTATAAAATATGATCAATGGAAATAAATATTTTGGAAATAAAATAAGGAATAAAAAGTTGTTAGATCGATTAAATTACAAGTTAGATATATGAGTTGCGATCTTTTTTTTTTTTTTTTGAATAACCGCGGGTCTCCCAAAGGTTTTCTAGGTCCAAGGACTAATCCCATGAGACTGGCAATTCCCCTATGTAAATCTGTCAGTGGCCGTGCCTCGAACCTTGGTGGCAGAAGTCACAACTGTGACCTCTTTACCACTAGGCTACAAGGCCCGGTCGATGAGTTGCGATCTTTTCCATAGTGTATGTCATGTTAATTGGAATGACATGTGTTGATAGTTTACGTTTTGCACTTTTTAAAACTCTTATGGTTACTAATTCTAGAAACTCACTACATCGTTGGTTAATAAGCACATCACTGCTACCTTACCAAATACGCCAAGGGTCGTTTGGATCGGATCATTAATTAATTGTTATATACGTTTATGTATTAGATTCTCGTTTATTAAGCTTAAATATATAGATAGATGAACTATATTATAATACATAAAACAGCAATTGCTTAGAGATTTGGTTAGGCCGGTGGAATTATACGAATCTTAAAGAGTTTAATAAGCTTGATTTTCGTTGTCCTGCCTCCATGGCCAATAATCTTTCTTTCCAATTTTGGATCTGTTGACTTGCATTATTAGTTCATTACTAAATCAATCAATAGCCTCTAATAAAGCTGTAAATAACCATTTTTCTACTAAAATATTCAATGTAATGTATTTTGCTAAGAACCTTTTTATTCCTCTGTAAAACGAGTACAAGAACGTTTTTCGCTCGGTTTATTGAACAAAGACCAAGAAAAAACCAAACCGAAGACAATTATTTGGTTAACACAAGATGACGGTCATAACCGGTACAACATTGCAATTTTATTTGGTTCTCTTCTCAAAGTTGAAGGTACTCATACTATGAGACCAAAACCAATGAAGAAGCTTGAGATTTGAGACTGTGACCGGTGGTTAGATGATTCTTCTCAGGCTGTGTGTTCTCCTGGAAATGGTATGGAAGCACAGCAACGGTAATAACCGTTCTGGTCGAACACAAAACGCTGTGAGAGATGAGCTTCTCGGATCAGATATTCTCCCCAGTCTTCGTTTCCAAACTGTTTGTGTATCTCTCTTGCATCAAACGTCTCCATCTTCTTCTTATTGTTCTTTCTGAGACCAAAAGGGTTTTCAGATAATCAGAGTTTTGTAACATTTTTTTCTAAATCTAAACATAAATCTGGAGTTGGGAATCAATCACCTCCTTTTCCTGTGCCTAGCATTCATCACGGTCACATGCAGCTGCAAAGAAAGAAAAAGAAGTATGAAACAGAAGCACGATTCACTACTTTCAATTCCATTAGTTCAGAGCTTTTGGCTAAATGTAAAGTGACTGCAACAATCTCTCCATACAAGAAAGCTCTTACCTTCAAGCTTTGCTTTGCATCTTTCTCGAGAACAAGCCCAGCTTTCACAAATGCATCAGTAATAACTTCTGAACTTGGTGTTAAGAAAATCGAAAGCATTTACACTAAACTCTTAATTTAACGGTCTAAACCATGCCACTACTATAGATAACATTCGTACTAAAAATTAGGATACGACAAGCACGTAAAAGCCGGCCTTCATCACCAATTTCTTCAACAGGAGCATAGAGCACACGAGTCTTGGCTAATGGTCCTCTCATACAATCCTTAAGAATATAGCAAATAAGCAACATGACAGATGAGTGAATAGACATAAGCTGACCAAGTACATAAATGAATTGTAAGACTAAAGCTAGGGATGTATCATCTTACCAAGCCCTTAAGTCTAATGAATACTGGTTTCTTATCCAAAGCATCCATCACACTAGGAGATATACTCTGGATTGTAGAATAGAGAAAACTCAAATTCATTAAGCATTCCTAATAAATGAATGACCTCTCTTCAGAAAGAAATTACCTTCAGAACATCACCCGCTGCATTGACACGATCTTTGTTCCATAACTTAAGCATAACCACAGTCAAGTGGAAAGTACTTGGCTTAATAAAGATGGACTTTTCAATTCCCAAGTCTGTCAATGTATACAAAATTTACAGAGCATATCAGAGAGAACACTTAATCTTCTTTCTCAGATCAAACGACTTAATTATTTTTTTTACCCAATAAAGTAGATGACTTTGATTTGGCCTTAGGCGGGTAACTGACAATTGGTATACTCTTGATATCCACATTGACCTTGTTTGTTTCACTATTAGCTTTTAGATCAACTGCCACACTTGTGGTTTCTCTATTAGCTTGGTCGTCTTGCTTATCCCTAGCTATGCTATGGTTTCCGAGAATAGAGTTCTGAAAATTCACTAGCTTGTCCACTAACTCAGGGTGTATGGCTAATGGAAGTGATACAAAGTGTGAGTAGTCGAGACTCGGACTCCTTACAACCTAGAATATGAATTCCAAAGCGCACAATCAGAATGAAATAAGTAGAACAAGAAGGAAAAGGAAAAGGAAGAGAAAAAGCCGTGATACTAAAAATCAAAGGGAAATAATAAGGAACCTCATCGATAATGGTCGCTATTCTTTCTGAAGCTTTAGTTACACATTCCACTGAACCACCTTCAATGCCTGCAAAGAAGAAAGGACACAAGAAAACAAGATTTCTTGAACCAAAATCAGTTTTAAAATGGTAGCTAGTCAGCCAGCTAGGATTAAGGGCTCAGACATCAAACTAAACATTACAGTTGGTTCCAAAAATCTTACTGATATGATCTTCGTTCCTTGATGATGGAAGAATGATCTTCACTCCCATTTCCTCTTCAAGTTTCATCTGCGTAGTTCCTCTTTTGCAAAGAATGCAAACCCATTAGTACGTAAGTAAACCTTGAAGTATAAGATTAAAAAACTAGAGCTCTTACTCTTTCCCTCTAATGAACTTAATCAAAGAAGCCCCAACCTGAAACCAGTTACACAAAAGTCAGTTAAAGTAGTTGAAACAAGAGGCTACAAGAAACTTCAAGTAACAGAAGGAAAAAGGACCTCAAGAGAAACGGAATGCTTTCCAGCTGAAACAACTGAGGCCGTCTCATTCACTCCTCCTTTAATAACTTCCTCAGAAACATCACTTGATTTGCTACACTGAGCTACTTCTTGGACTTCATTTCCAGCTTCTGTCTCATCATGAGAAAGCCACAGAAGGTGGAAACTTTCAAAACCGGGATGGATCATACGATTAAACTGCTTAGGTAAAGATACTAACCAGCAAGAATTGAAGAGGATTGAGTGGAAATTGGTCTCCACATTAAATTTACCATCTTCTGCTTCTTGAATCCATCCATGGCACTGTTCTCACTTCCCCTAAAGCTCAAGATACTAAAAGATTCCTGCAACGTGAAGTAATGTAGCCACAAAACATCAAATCCAAATTCTACGAAAAACAATCTCAAAATCACTTACACTTGCCAAAAACTAGAGTAACAAATGCCAATGAGACAACAAATTATTGAACTTACCGTTTTCGATAGAAAACATCTACTCGTAACCCCAAACACACGATCAATCCTACAAAATTACCAATAGAAACAACATGAGATATAAACACAAGTAAGACAAAATCAAACACTTTACACGAGTTTTCTAATCCAACCCTCGAAAGGAAGAATTTTAAAATTCGGGTATTGTTGAAATTGATAATTGATAATAGAATTTAGAAGAAAGTATCAATTTTTCTTTCAAGAGAAAACGAACCTAAACAGAGTCCTGTAAGCTAACATCTTCCTCTCCTTCTCCGGTGATCGATCAGCCGTAAGATCTTTTTCTTCTGCCACTATTTACGATTATATACTACTAAACCCATAACTTCCAATAAATTATATATTTTTACCATATACTTTCAAAATTAACTATTAGGACCCTGAAATATTGTCAACTCTAGCAGAAGGACGTCTACCTGAATTTATTATACAAACTGCTTCTCTCCTCTACTGTTTCGTTGTTATAAACAAAACTTACTGATTGATAGAGAAAATTAGTATAAGAGAAAAATATTACTGTCCACAACTTATCTTACATACACACAAGTTACACAATTGATAGTTACCAATTGCTGTGACACATACACATATATAAAACCAGTTACGTAATGACATACCACACTGACCAAAGTTTAGACATCAATTTTTCCAGGACAATACACGTGGAGGAGATATATCTGATCGTTGTCAATGTCACTTATGTGGAAAAGGCAGCAATGGAAGTAACCATTCGGGTCATATTTATAGCGTTGTGAGATATGAGCTTCTCTGATTAGATATGTTCCCCAATCCTTGTTCTCAAACTCGAGTCTTCGTTATAGGCCCAATATTTTGGAGAAGTTAGAAAAAAAAAAAAAAAACACCAAAAGAGAGAAATATCAGAGTACTGAAAAGGGAAATATCTCCACAAATTTCGAAACAAATATTTACTTCCCCTCCTTTCGGATTTTTTTGATTTCCTAGATCAATTTTTAGAAAACTAATTAAGTTTTTCAAAATCAAAACCCTAAAGTTTCTTGCCTTATAAAATCCCTTGCATCACAGCCGTCAAATGGACGTGTATCCCATTACTGCTTCATTGTTCTTTACGTGTGTTAACAAGGTTATATGGTTCAGATGAAATATTTCTGAGCCTTTTGTAACCTTCTTTTGCACACGCCTTGGATTTTCTTTTGGCTTTTTTCATGTTGTTCATTTGAACTTTAGCCTTTTCATCTTACCTAAAGAAAATCGAAGGCGTTTGTAGAAGAAGGTTTCAAGAAAAAGTTATACATAGCCACTTTCTTTAAGTTATGTTTACAGAAATTAATCCTCCTATGACTTTGAGGTGTATAATCAAACCCTTATCTAGTAAATGCTTTGTTTAATTGCATACTAAATTAATTCACTCCAGAGTTCCTTTTTGACTTTTCCTTTTATGCCACAGGTGACTAACTATGAGAAGAAGAAAAAGATGAAAGGTATTCGTCTTGAAAGAGCTGGTTAGCTTCTTGAACTATCTAGATTTGGCATTATGACCACTAACCTCTTCAATTGAATGAAAATTATTATGGATGGTGTCTCACAGATTTATTATGAATCTTTATGTTGCAGGAACAACTCTTACTCATAATTGGAGATGCAATCATAGATCTAACAAATAATTAATTATTATTATACCTCTCATGTCTCGGAAATTTGCACCCTGTGATTAATATATTGGAATCATTTTTATTGCTCACAGGGTGCAAACTTTAGAGACTTGAAATGTGTAATAATAAAATAAAATAAAGTGGTGCATAGAGCATGCGGTTTAATTTGTCTGAATTTCTTCTCATACGATCCTTAACAAGTGGGAAAAAAACACAAAGCAGAACTGCCACACTTTGGTTGCTCTATTAGCTTGGTCGTCTTGCTCATCACTAGCTATGCTATAGCTTGTGGAGGAGATATATTTGATCGTTTTCACTGTCACTTATGTGGAAAAGGTAGTGAAGCACAGCAATGGAAGTAGCCATTAGGGTCATACTTATAGCGTTGTGAGATATGAGCTTCTCTGATTAGATATGTTCCCCAATCCTTGTTCTCAAACTCTTTGTGTATCTCTCGAGCATCAAAAGTATCCATCTTTTTGCTTTTATCTTTTCTGTAGCTTGCATTCATTACTGTGGCGTGTAGCTGCAGATAAGGAACAAGCATGAAGGAGAAGCTGAGACATTGTTATATCAATCTTTGTCTTTGTCCTAGTGGCAAAGTGATTTTGCACTTTCTAATACAATGGAATACTCAAAAGGGAAAGAGTAAAACATAAGGAGAGTTTAAAGCATTACACCTTCAAGCGTGACTTTGCGTCTTTACCAGCAAATCCAGCATTCTCAAATGCATCAATGATAACATCTGAACTAGAGAGTTAAAGTCATGTGTTTGGTCTCCACATATTAAATACCAAGTCCATCTTAAAACCAAGGCACACAAGGAAATATAAGCTCTTATAGAAATTAGGATACGACAAGCATTTAGCAGGCGACCTTCATGCCCAACTTCTTCAACAGGAACATAGAGAACACGGGTTTTGTCTAAAGATCCATTCATACAATCCTTAAACAAGAGAAAAATATACAAAGCAAACCATTGAGATTGGTTCAAAGATTATGTTTCAAGCCACTAGAAATGTAGCAATTACCAATCCCCTGAGTCTTATGAAGACAGGTCGGTCCTTCAAAGCTTGCCTCACATTAGAACAAATACTCTGCTTTTCAGAAAAAACACAACACCTCAATCATCAAAGCAATTCTAGAAGAAGAAGAAGTATGTTATATCTCTTGATAAAGAGGAATCAATCATACCTTAAGGATATTCTGAGCTTTAACCACAGATTCATTGTTCTCTAACTTCAACATAACCACAGTCAAATGGAAAGTTTTGGGCGAAACAAAGATGGATTTTTCGATTCCCATTTCTGTCCAATATAAAAAGAACCATGTCATTGAAACAAGTTTTATACTAAAAATATTATTTTCTTAATTTGGTTTGTGATTTTACCAGCTAAAGTAGTCTGAAACGTCAATGGATTCTTATCATTGTTACCCAATACAGAGTTCTGAAAAGCCTCAATATTTTTCTTCAACTCAGGGTATATGGCTAATGGAAGTGACACAAAGTGTGTGAACACTTCTCTATGAGCCTGTCCAATCTACCAAGCATTTGAGAAATCAAGTGTCCACAGCAAGTAAAAGAAGATCCAAAGTATAGCAACATGTAAAAAGGTCAAAGATTGAGATTTTCTCTACGCTACAAGCCTACAACAAAGAATCTAGAAAATTAATCAACAAACCTGCTTCTGATTGCCTTTGAAGGCAAGAGGAGTTTGATGAGAAGAGGAACAACGATTCCATAAATTCTCCATAGCCTTGACACGCCTCAGTTTTCATACACGAATGAACCCAAACCAAACCAAGAAACCGTAGAGGATAATCAATGGAGAGAGACTTTTTGATAAAGAAATTGCAAGAGACATGGTCAATGACGACCGACCACACAAAGCCTCTCTCTCTCTTTCGCCTAAGCAAATAATTAATTACTCATAAAGTTTGGTTTTAATAAATACACAAGTTAATAGTATTTTGAGTCTGGCCAACCCATGACGGAGTTACACCTAAACTCATCTGTCATACATCTTCCACCCGACACTCGATGTAAGCAAAGAGGAAACACTTTTCCTTCTTTCCGGGTACCAATATCGTTACTCGAACCCTGGTGAGACTTCTTCATCATGAAGAGCCACTACCACTTTGCTGGTTGAGTATTGGTCGTTAATAGTATTTTGAGTATTTTATTTTTTTACGCTTGAATAGAAAGTAGAAACTCGACTTTAATTGGTTTTCTGAAAACTCGAGTCTTCTTGGTTCGCTGACTAACCAAAAATTTCGGAGAAGTTAAAACAAAAAAAACAAAGCAAGATCAAATCACAGAATCGGAAAGGAAAATATTGATCTCCGCAAATTTCGAAAAAAATATTTTCTTCCTCTCCCTACGGATCTCTTTTTGATTTTCTAATTCACTTTTTAGAAAACTAATAATTAAATTTTTCAAACTCAAAACCCTAAAATCTTCTCACCTTATAAAATCCCTTCCATCGGAGCCTTTTGTTACAAACTCCTTCACTTTTTCTTTTGGCTTTTTCATGTTGGTCATTTGAACCGTAGCCTTATGTTACATAAATCGTCCTAAAACCTTGGCAGGGAGGTCCTCCACACACAATATTTACAAGGACGTTTTGCACGTTGCATTCTTTGAAATTGATGTGAATATTGTGTGTGGAGACATCTTTGTCAAGGTGTTAGATGATTTATATTAAATTAAACTTTTATGATTTCTACCATGAAATCTAATTCCCAAGATCATCTAGATTCAATTTAATTCAACCACACACTTTCTTGTAGAAGAAGAAAGACTAACCTTGATCCATTGCTTAATTAGGCTTGTAATGGAATCAATTCACCAGTTGATTTCTTCTCCCCTTTGACCTTGTTCCTTTCACGTGATCTTTGATGGAGAAGATCACTAACTCTTTTGATGTTTTTGTGTCTAGTTATTGTTCTGTTTCTGTTTCTCTCGTGAGGAGAACAAAAACGTAACCTTTGACGTGTTTAACACCACACATATATATACATGTATATAGCATCTACCAAGGGTTGTATTGGTTCGTAATAACCACCACTTTAATAATGCATGAACATAACATATACATGTATATATATTACTTATAAAATATAATTAAGGCAAGGGAAGAGGGTTATCAATACACCCGAATTCTAATTCTTTAATCGAAACCGATCCATCACGGTATCGTCTTTAATATTAGAATCTTTAACTTTAATATAAACTTGAACTTTATAATTAAACCGAAAGACATATAGGCCACATAGAATAAAATATTCTTACATTCTCCCACTTGGCCTTTGTGTCAAGTTAATGGTTTAATTACTTTAATGCGCGCTTTAACATCAAATTTATTAGATCTTTAATTGCTTAAATTAAAATTAAAATTGATTGAATCATGGCGGTTACACATCATTGAACGACATGCTCCCTTCCATGTATCACAAACCAATTCTAACTTTATAATTTCCTTACAATGAGAGAAACCTTAATTCTCAAAATAACTATATGTTATCCATAAACCTTAAGTGTATACACATACTTTAACTATAACATACTTAATAAATCCAGAAACGTTACTTTAAGTGAATTCATAGTATCATACATAAAACGAGCATACTACAATCAATATAGCAAGGCTTTGTCTATAATCCCCATACGCTCTACATGGCCAATGAACGCCTTGGGTGGTAGACCTTTAGTTAACGGATCCGCAACCATCATGTCCGTCCTAATATGCTCAAATGAAACT